TATCATTTATAACTCATGTAATGCCCTATGTGAATAATTGTGAAACTTTTGAAAGCCCTTTTGTATTAAGGTATCAAGAGAAGGTGTTTACAGTTACTTCCTCTTTACATCAGTGCAAATGTTAGACGATTCAACAACAACTATTGGGACATATTTCGACCAGTAAAATTTTACTGGCTTTCAATGATATGTTTTGATTTGAATTACTTTTGATAAAATGGTTAGTGGTAATTTGATGCAACGAATGAGTTCGAAGAGTATATTTGAAGGGTCCTTTAGCAAAGTATCGTTTTCATCATAGTAATGCCCTGGCAGTGCAGTACTTGCCAACCGAACCAAAAAGAAAATTAGATAAAATGTCAATAGCTAGTCCTTTTAATCTTCCTATTATCCCCCTATTTTCATCAAGCCCCATCGAGCCACACCCTGCCCCACCCTTTTGTTTAATAGAGAATACCCAGTTGAAAAAGTCACGCTACGCCACTGATAGACAGTGAGCTAAAACGCAAAAATAAAGTTGCGTTTTCATTTGAAAACGTACTCGTGTAGACGGGCCTAAATAGAAAACACAACGGGTGAAATTCGATGGAAATTCAAAGCTATGGATTGAAATTGGTTAAAAACAGATAATGATGAGCGTTACGTGAAATGTGGATTGTCTCTAAACAATACTGTCAGGCAAGGACTCAAAGGCTTTAACATCTTGAAAGAATTTTTAGAAAAAATTATTCTAGCAAAGTTGTTCAGGATTTTCTCAGGATTCAGCTGTTAGGATATTTATTGTTGGGCCTCGACGACGGGTGAAAATATTTTCGTAACAGGAAATTGTCTATATAGACATCAGAATTTACTATCACATTACGCTGCTATTTATGGTTATTGATCACATGGCTAGATCTATTCCATTCTAATGTTAACTTTTTGATTACTGATTAATTTGTGAAAATTTGATCACCAGCCTCTTGATTAGCAGATCCATAAGAGCTAGCCATAGCCATGTGATCAATTAGGCATGATAGTATCAGTTTAATCAAGTCAAATCGTATAATCAATTAGTTCTATCGTGTGATCAATTAATTTAATCAGGTGACCATTTTCAAATGCAATCATGTGCCACCTAGGACAATCATGTGACCACTTTGGCTGAAATATGTTGTTTTAAGAGTCAAATCACGTAATTAATTGGGTCGATCAGTGGCCATCATGAATTTAGCATCGCTCACATACCTTTGCAACATTGTCTTCTTTGTCTAGATTCGATGAGAAAATGTTAGGGGAGGGGTAATATTTTGGCAATGCCCTTTTATGATGCAATCCTATGATTCTGTACCTAAGTTTGTTTTGTAATGTAATCCTTCACCGAACCAAAAGTTAGTCTTTGACGTTCCCTTCAAGTGAGATTGGCGCTCCTTGTTAGAAAAGGACGATTTCTGGCGGTAAAATGAGCGTGGCCAAAAGATTTTTGTTTTGTCCCCCTTCCACCAGAGCCAAGTGGCTGGTACAACCACTGGGCTGCGGGGCCTCCGACCAAGGGAGGGCCGAGGGGCCTTAGCTTTTCCATTTTTTTGCAAAACAATAGAGTTTTTTCAAAATCATTTGTTATGGATGTTAAATTTTCCCTTCCCCCCCCCCCACTTTTAAGCCTGTGTCGGAGCCCATGGACTGCAGACCTAGAAAGCCTAGTACAGTTAAAACTTACATTCAGGACGAAAGGAGAGTCGAGACTGTTAATTTGTAATGGCAGTCCAGACAGTTCTATTTTTCTATGTTTTTGTAATGGAGAACATAGAACGTTGATCCCTAATAAGTGAGATCTTTGGCTATCTAAGTATGCAGCAAGCAATGGGATTTTCAATTAAAAGGTAGACAATTTTTTGTTTTCATGTCATCTTGTTAGAGTTAGTTGAGCGCAATGAGCAGCTTTGCCACAAAGGTTTAATCCCCTTTTTTGCTAAGATGAAAAATTCATCCTGCTCGAGTGAAAGTATTAGCATATGAAGTTTATAACCTATTATTCAACCATTTTCTTGCCGCTGCTGGAATCACTTCAATTCGCTTAAACAGTTGCATGAACAAATTGAGTTAACTTGTAGTTCCACAAAATGATTCTAACGAGATTTACAATCAACAAATTTTTTTATTCTTGTCTTGAGTCAAAAGAATGGTAGAATTTTGCATCCTAAATTCTAGTTACATTCTGTTGATACAAATTGATAGCAATAATACCAACTCATATAAAATATTCTGAATATAGTAAATTAAGTAAAAACCAACCGCTACTGGCATCAACGTTGGTTTTAAATAAGACTGCTTTGAATCAGTTGCGGAAATTTGTGGGTGAAATGTATGGGGGTGGGTTTAGGCCCATAATCTCCTGGCAAGACAACAGACGTAACAGGATATCGGGGATTTGAAAGCCTGGCACCGACACAAACGAGAATTGAAAGAGACGATTCCAGCCTCACCACCACCCCCTCCCCCCCCCCAAGCCCCTTTGATTTCCAACACTGCTTTTGAATCTGATTGTGTTTCCACGAAAAAGATAACTACGAAATTTTCGATATCAGGTAATCAACGGTATAAAGATATCAAATTGACTGTCATAAAATACATGAGATTTTCTCCTAATTGAAATTGCGAAAAATTCACGTTGTATATCGAAACCGTCATGGAATACAAATTACTCTCGAATTATTTAATCACGAATACTAGTGGGTCCCTTGTTGTATGGTTCTTAATTGCACGTTAAGCCACTCTCTTTGGTGTTACCTGGTAAATGTTTCAAAATATAGCTTAGATTTCTTCTAACGTAACTTGCCTCTAAAAGCCCGAGATATATTTATCTACACAATCAAGAAAATGGAACTCAGTTAAAGAAATTTCAAAATTATACTATATGAATCAAGACCCGGTTTTCATATTTAATTAGGCTTTGGTACAAAAGAAATAATTTCTGGTAAAAATTTCGTTATAAAACCACAAAACAGTCTGGTTGAAATATGTTAGATAAGAAACCATAAATCGCAGCTCAAAGATAACCTCGAGTGACCGTTCTGAACTCCTGTTCCCAAGAAGGCTTGTGGTTAGCCACTTATAAATAAACGTTGATTCCTACTGCAGACTCTTTGATAATGGATAACGGAAGCCAATAGCAATCAAGAGGAAATCCTTCGCAAAAAGACAGCGTTGTGACAAATTTGTAAGGCGATGAAAGCAACTGAACACGCACAGCTTCAACAATGCCTCCGTGAAGGAACTGTTTTTACTAGATATCTTAATAAGGAAAGTCATTGATTTGATAATGAAACTTGAACTCTACTGGTTGACAACGGTGCATGACAAAATGGCATTTCCTTTTTTATAATAAGCGAACATATATAAATCACAATAGGGTGAAAGACTGAGGTTTATACTAGGATGTCCTGAAGACATGAAAAAAAGACAATCGTATGCAGCTTTCTGGAAAATCGAGAAGGTGTGGCTTGATCTTGTGAAAATCTACGTGAAATCTCTCCTTAAAACTTAAGAGCGTTTTGATTTAAAATAGAAGAAACAAATAAAATTAGTGTAATACACAGAGTAAATTGAGAATAGCACTTAACAGCTATCAATAGTAATAAAGTCATTGTTAGACCGTAGAGATTTAGAGCTTGAAAATGTTCTTGGCTTACGCTGACAGTGGCTCTCCCATCGACCACTCGGATTCTCTTTTGCATAGAGGACATTTTCAAGCTCTAAGATCTCTACGGTCTAACATTGACATCTTTATCACAAAGCCCGATAAAAGGTCAGAAGTGGTAATTCTGAAATCAATGATAAAAAGCTGGAAAAAATGTAAAGAGGAACCAACCAGCCTGTCAGTGAATATGACAAATGATGTTGTTTGGCCATGTATTGAGGCAACATTAAGAAGCGCCTGCTAGAAAGCAATGACATGCTACTTCAAAGTTACAAAATGTTCTAAGAAATTCCAAAAAACATGCAAGAATAAGGTTACCAACATTTCTGCGTCAAGACACAAGACATGCAATCGAGATGATCTCAACTACTCCTACCAACCAGTTCACGGTCCTTATCGACTTAAATAGGCTTCAAACATTTGCCTATGACAGAAAAATGGACAGTTTGATCAACGTCATTTGGCTCGCCTTATAAAAGTAAAATACCAATTTTCTTAATAGAGAAGGGCAAAGAAGAAGGTAAGTATGAAGGAGAAGAGTAAAGGTGGGAAAAAAGAGTTGGAAAGAGAAGAAAAGGTAAGATAAAGAAGAAGGGTAAAAAGATGAAGAAGTTTGAAAATGAGCAGAAATAGAGTATCAAAATGAAGTAGAAGAGGAAAAAGAAGAAAAAAAGCAAGAAAACGAGGTAGAAGATTATGAGAAAGGAGATAAAAAGCAAAAAGTAGAAAATGAGATAGAAAAAGAAGAAAAGAGCAAGAAGAAATAGGATGAAAAAAAGAAGATCAAGGAGAAGGAGGAGAAGAAGAAAAAGAAGTATAGAAAAAGGGGAAAAAAGAAAAAAGAAGGAGTAGAAGAAGCAGAAGATTGAAAGATACTGGGATTTAAACTCATCTTTCCTACGTGCGCTAAACATTTACAACAACAACATGATATATTTAAAGTGGGTAGCCTATAATAATTTATCTACAAAGAGAAAAATTCAAAAGCTAAAAGGAAAAAAGGTACATAAAAGCATTAAAATTCTTAATATATGTGTCCAAATCAGTTCTTAAAATGTGATTTAAATTGTAAAATGCTACACAGAGATGTTATTTCATCGGGTAATTTATTCCATATCTGAGTAGCTCTTGCTTTGAATGCTAAAGAGCTCCATCGGTTTTTTATACGTTCAACATATATCTTGTTGTATCTACACGATCTTGTGTTTTTTTAGATTTTTTTTAGATGATTCTAGATTTTTTTAGAGGGTCAATGATCTTTTCGATTTTGAGTTTTCTTTCGATAAAAGTAAAGTTTGTAGAGGAAGCTTCACCCACAAGGTAACATTGGCTTAAAAATTGCTCAAACCAGGGCTGACGTGTGATTGATTCCGTCTTTAACAAGCGAGGACATGTTTGGTAGGATGAAATCTGTGTTGGCATCTCTTTGTTGTGATGTAGATTTTCGGTGCATGAGCAATTCTTTGTCAGTCTTTTTGAGTCAGTAAATAGCCTGTGTACAACAGACTGTTTAACAAAAATTCAACATGGTCCTGTTGTGGCCAGGGTGTGTTCATGGGAGTGGCTTCTAGAAGTTATCTACAGCACGATCCCCCTGACTTTTAAGGATTTTTTATGCAGCGATGAATGACATTTGACCATTTTTGCAGCGATGAATGCAGACACTGCTTGCACAATAAGCATGTGTCTTGATAGATTCATTTAAAGTCTATATGAATTCAGTCAAACAGTAATAAAATAAACTGGGGACTCATGCCATAACTTGATAATTTGTTTGACAATCTTCGTTATTGGCTGGACTGGTAAATAAAGGACTCATGATTGATTCTTGCGAGACACTTTTTGCAGTTTCTAATCAGTCTATTTCATTTCAGACATCTAGTCATTGCAGTAGGAAGTCAAAATAATCTGAAATGAGGGCATAATGCTAGACATGAGAGGGCTTTGTTTTGTCAATTTATCCATGAAAAGAGTGGATGCCTTTTTAGAACTAAAGGTGGGTCTGATGAAAATGAAGAGCTTCAGGTGAAATAAAAGAATCGTCAGTTTTCAGTATCTAAGATTGAAATATACAGCAGTAAAAATAAAATGGTAATATACAAAAAAAACCAATTGTTCAAGTCTTTGCCAAGACATTTTTACTAATGCAACAGCATCATGGGATTTAATATTATTATCCAATATGAATGAGAAGGGCAAAGAAAAAATGTTTAACTGCTCTTAGTGGGACATGATTAACATGAACAATCTTGCAGATTTAAGTTAAACAGACATTGCTTACAAAATGCTTACATCTAATATAAGTCACAGGTAGCCTATTTGATAGCCCTGCTCATCAAAGCCAAAGGCAATGGGGAGAGAAGACAGGGAAAATTGAGCCCCCTTTCTGTCCCTTCTCTACGTACATTACTCTTTGCATCGGCTGTGGTCCCACTTGTGTCGCCTATCTTCCCTTGTCAAAGGTTTGAATAAGCCAGCCTCTCGTCTGCGAAAGAATTCATTATTGGCGAGTATCAAAGATGGCGTTTACGGGGCCTTGGGGATAACAGCTTTATTTAAGTGCATTGAGAATTTATATCGAAGATTTACGGTCGCCCTATCTTCTGGTAAGTAACATATATTACTCTACGAATGATTGTGGCAAAAAATCATGTCTCTAGAAACGATCACTATCAACTTTTGATGACAGGGACTCTGCTATCATCTGCCAGGCTTCGACAAGAGTTTGTGATGAGCAATGGGATCTAAAAACACACTAGGACTTTTTACAATAATCGTAACATATAAAACAACAACAAAACGTCTCTAAATGTCTATGCCTTGGGCTTACACATACAAATGAAGTAATAAATAAACCATTGGAGCCATGCCTCCGACATGTTTGGATTTGGACTTAAGGTTTCAAAGCTGGGGTCCTCCAAAAAAAATTAAAGGTTCTTATAAACTTTCAAGCGGAGGGGACCATAAATCTTTTAACTTTTCAACCATATCTTCTTAAACAGGTATTTTGCGGGTGATTTTCTGTACTTCAGGCTTGTTAAAGGGACAAGGGGTGATCTTGGGCTGCAGAGACGGTGTTCAGCTCCTGAGGTTTCACTCTCCCTAAATAATACACCTAACCATCCACTGAAATTTACTTTCATATAAAAAGCATTTCGACTCCCTTCCAAATCAATATGCTCCGCTTAACCAAGGAGCGTAAAGTCTGGGAATTCACGTGCTTTGAGCACCCAATGATAACCTCTTAACGTGGTACTTCTACTTTTTGCTATTTTTCTGAGAAATTCTTCGCGAGTTCTTTTTATACCGCTACACCCCTTTGCTGCACCGAGTCAGTTATTTTGAACCTGATCTGATCCTAAAGGGTATTACATGGACCTAATGAACTACATACGCTAACTAATAACCTCTAGTTCGAAATAATGCTTATTTTGTGTAGCTGTCTCTAATCTTAACAACTTTCTTCGACTTCCCTTGATTGCTCATTATACTTGAAGTTCCATCCTTTAAGTTTCTAGTCCGTTTGCTCTTATTCATAACACTTTCATAGCCACTGCTTGCAGGAAGATTTGACGGAAAGTTCCTCACGACTGAGACATTTTGTACAGCGTTCTTGATCCGTTCCATTCTTTCACTCTCGTCAACCCCAGGTCTGTACGAAGAAGTGCTCTCGACTGCATGGATGTAGTTCAAGTCGCTCAGCACAAATTTATAGTCAATCTTTCCGATTATTTCATCTGAGAAAGCGGATTCTCGTCTAACCTCCGGATGAAAGTTACGATCATCTAGCAATCCTCGATTTCCCTTGTTCATTTTCTTCAATCTTGGGATAACTTCACCTGGTTTGTATGATTTTGTATCGCGTCCTTGGGCTATCGGAGGCAGTGTCACTCGTTGGTTAAGGTCACTGAAAAAGGCAGCTTTTGCTGCAAAAGAATCGCCCTCTAAAACAGGCCCTCTATCGATCTTTCTCGTCACTTCACTGCACATCATGGAACATTTTTTATGTCCTAATTGCAAAGCAAGTTCGGCTGCAGAAATCCCATTTTTGTTTTTACCTCCGTCTTTGACGCATTTTAACTTATACAGCCTACAAATGTACCTCACAAAACTGCAATTTCCCGTTTGCACTGCGTAAAACAAAATTGAATTTCCTTTAGCATCTGTGATTTTAATGTCGATGCTTGCTTGTGTGCTTGTAAGCATGTTCATTATTTGTTTGTGGCCCTTCAGTGAAGCCCAGTGTAGAGCATTTCGTCCCATCTTGTCCCTATGTCCTACTTTAGCCCCGTGCTTTAACAACAGCTTCACCATCTTTCTCGCAATTTCCTGGTCATCAAATTTGCATGCTTCTATCAGCGGGGTTGTCCCACTCTCCGTTGTATTAACAGTTAAAATTTCTCCATTGCTAACAAGATCTTTCACATCTTTTACATGTCCTTGTTTGACAGCATGCATAAGTGCCATTGCTAGATCTAATTCACGAACACGGAATGCCTCATCCCTTTGTAGCAAGCTCTTATACCCAACAGAAATGTCTCCAGCGGTTTGTGACCTAGCAAATTGTTGGCACACAAACAGTCTTTCCTTGTTCTCTTACCAATGTGTCATTATATTTTCAAATGTCAATTCGGAGTGAAATATTTCGACCTGCTTTTCTTGGTGGAAAAATCTGGACAAACTGTGACACAACAATATCCTCTTCACAAAGGTCACAAATCTCCGTGCGACAAAATTTTACTTCCAATTTTTGACTAAGTTTGATGGATTCTACGACGTAAAAATGGACCAAATTTTTTCTCGAACTACGACTAAGGACTTTCAAGAAACATTGTCTAGAAACGTAGAAGGATTTTGACACTTATTTCTCGACCTGACCATTCATTCACTTGATTTTTCAGCCAGAAACTGAAAATACAAGGCCAGGATAGTGTGTAAGACTTAAATTCTCCTTTAGGTCTTTGTTCATGATTCCTTTTAGGTTTCAAGTTTCACCAAAAGTCACCTGACGAACTTTTCTTCTGGTTAACGCTGTTCTTTGACCTGTTTTCTCTTCCTTTCTTCGTCGTTCAATACCAAAATGGGTTTTAGGCTGAATTGTAGCCTCAGATACGACTTTGATTTGGTAAAAGTAGGCCAGTTGTTATAAAGTCTACAGCCAAATGCTCAATAAGCAACAACACTTGGCAACACCTTGACAGTGAAAATAACTGTACACAATATCCATCGTATTTTCACACAATCTCTGCCCTTAGTGTATTAAAGTTTATTAGAATAATCTTTCCGAACATTGGCGGATTGATCCAGCGAGATAAAAAACTGACGGTCAAGTGTCAAGCTAACTTGGTCGGCTAACTTCAGTGGATCTCGACGATGAAGGCAGCAGAACTGAATCCAATAACCTTTAGCGATACCTGCTTTTGTGTAGGGTTGTTTTAACACTCCGATTTAATTGCCTCTGACAAAAATCGCTTCGTTAGAAATGATGTTGTGAACAAGCAACTTGGGATTTCTGGTGTCGTGTTTCAGGTTCAATATGACCATCGCCATTGGCTACGGAACACAGAAACTTTGGAATGTATTCGTCAAATAGGCGAATACTATGCTCTTCAAAGGATGGCTTCAGCAAATGTTGGTTTTCGAATTACGAATGCAACCCTACCTCGTTGTTTGGCTATCGTCAACTCTATTGTTTGCTGTGTCTAACCATATTTGCAAGAGCAATAATCGCCATTGATTTCTGCTTATAACCTTAACCCGGCAATCTTTGCTGCCTTGTCGTGATCTATTTCGCAAAAGGCTAATATTTTGCCATTATCTGATAACAACATTATTAAAACCAACTGATGACGTCATTGGCTGTTGATCTCTTTTCACGCTGTTTCTTTTCACCCACAACCATCAAATGGCGAATTTAGATTACAAGGCTTGTGACGGCATAGGGCGGGAGTAAGAGGCTCTATTGCCCACTCACATTCTTTTGATCTATACCCTAACACGTCATAGCCTCATTTTGAAATTTTTTTTAAACTTCAGATTCGGTTTTATTGTCATACTTTTCGGCTAGATACAATTTTTCACATTGTTTGTGCTTGTTTTATAGATTTTGCAGTAAAAATGAAGTTTGAAAACTTGTAAGGGATTTAAGGCACCGAGGAGGAGGAGGGGGGCTGGGGGGCTTTAGCCAAATATTAAGTATCAAACTACCCGAAAAGCCTCTTTTTATACGGTTTTAGCCCCCCCCCCAACTTTTTTTAGATCCCCCAATTGTTCTCAACGCTCTGCGGTGCCCGGATTTGGCCACAAAAGTCATTCTGGGTAAAATTTTACCCCCAGTCATTAATCACAGTCAAACCCCTTGTAAAATCATTATCTCAAGCAAGTAGACATAAAAGCTAACCCCTTAGCAGGGATAAGATATCCAGAAATTCTTCTCACTAACCCTTTATAGAGACTTGCAATGGTAACTTGCATATTGTTGTGATGTTGAAGAAACATTCTCTGCTCATTTTGGCTGGGGGCACACTCAAGCAAGTACTGCCAAGGGGCAATTCACTCTTAAAAACAACGCACGAGATTTCCACGAAACCACAAGGATTTTTAAGATATTTTCAGATAAAACGATTTTGGGATAGTTAGAGGGTCATGTTAGCCAACCTTATGATAGAAGATGGTACCTGATGATGATCGACTGTGAAGCTGAATAATCTTATCTTTTATAATCTCTATAAATTCCTGTTGCCAGTATCAATTCTGTTATGATTCAATAGTTCATAGAAAAACCAAAAAGTACAGCAATCAGAATTTGATGCTAAAATGATGATAGAAATGTAATGGTTTACTTTCAGTTTATCTTCAGAATAGCGACACATCTGGAAAATCAAAAACCCTCGAATGTATATTAGTTGATAATTATAAAGTTTGAACAAATATTTGGCGGTACAGAACTTGAAAATTTTTAAATTATAAAGTTTGCAAAAAAAATTATGAAATTTAACAACCCATTAAGTTATTAGAAATACATTTTATTCAGGTATTCACGAAACAAATGTTACACTATTCCGTTGGATTGCAATTGGCCAGAGTATTTGTGAAAGAAAAATGATCTAGCACACATCCCTGAGGAACACCAATGCTAATATTTGCGAGTGCAAATTTCAATTGAAGAAAGCATTAAGTTGACTATCACATTTTTTCAAGCTATTTGCGAACCATTTAACGCATGGTTGAATGTTTCGTTTAAATGCCATTGTCTATATCATTCGAGACTTTGTTAAAGAATAAGAACCTAGCACACATCCTTGAGGAACATCAATACTACCTGTTTCCAAGTACAAAAATACCAGTTTATTGAAACACCTCCCTCGATTAAGCATTAATTGCACAGCTGTTTGTTCGAAAATTCAACCTAAGTTGAAACTAAAAATTAGCCTAGGCTAAAAATTCAGGTAAGTAGGGAAATTTTCATAGAAGCCACAAAACCATACATCACTTAGAAGAAATACAGCTCTTTCTTAATGCTTTGGAGAATCAAGATATTTAGGGCTATTGTCTTGCTTTTAAGGCTAGGGAGTTTTCAAGAGGGATGAGGTCTTCTTGAAGGACATTGGCAAATGCAAAATATGGTAATTGTAGTTGTATGCCTGCACAACTGCAAGGCTTTGCATTTAGGTGGCCTAAATTGGCAAACCGCAGAGGCATGTATTGAACAAAACTTGTTGACTCAGCTTCAGCAAAGATTGTCATGCTAACCAAATGTGAACAAAACATGCCTACGTGGACAAAGGTCTTGGACTAGTGTCCTTCACCTGCTTGAACCAAAAGCAACCGACAATTTTTCATCGTCGCATGAATCTTTCGAACAATAACCAAGCAGGCACACGAGTTTTACGAGTTTTACTTTCAGAAGTAAGAACCACAGAGTTTCCAAGTAAAAAAATAGGAATATTGAGTTTCCAAATGCCGAAAATGAAAGAAATCACTGTTAGAAAATGAGTTCCTTTAAAATGAGTCCCCGTGCTCTTTTTGCAGCACACGATATCTCTTTAATATTCCCTCGAAATTGCAAATCATTTGTCTGAGCTAGTGTAGATTTACTATTGTAAAAGCCATCTACTTATACAATCCAAAAAAGAAGGATGTTCGCAGGATGTTGCTTCATGTTTGTTTCAATTCTACAATCAAAACGTCATCACAAATCGAATTTCTTATTTTATGCCACATAATCTGAACCAACAGCATAAAATAACTCTCAGTATATAAAATCAGTTTGCTAACGAATTACTGTTATTCTGGCCTGGTTCATAAAGTTAGGAACCAAGACCAAATTACAGAGGTTTGATGGGGAACGAGCCTGTGCCTGTGTGGCCATAAGTCTGTCAATACGTAATCCCTTTTAAACCACTTTGCACTTTTAGAGGTATTTCATGGTGATTTTTGGTTTATATTGTCAAATTGAAGGCTTTTAAAAATACATTTATGACGTCATCACTTTGGTACTCTATTGTTTTAGAGGAAAGGATGTGCGGTGTAAGTCTTTTCCACCCGAAATTGAAGTCGTTTTCAAACAATATTTTAACGACAGGATGCCCAAGGATCTTTTGGCAGGAAATGTAGAGTGTTATTTACTTAAAGTTATATTTTTTTAAATCATAACATGTTATGGTAATGTATACTTGCAATAATTGTCTTGTTTCAATTTGAGTCTACTTGCTTTTTCACTTTTCGCCATAATCTTCTTGAAATACCTCTTCAAAAATTCAAAAAGGGAAGGAATAGAAAATTCAAAAAGGGAAAGAAACTACGAAATAACTGAGTATTGCATCAATGCCCAATAATAGAACAGAACAAAAATCCATGCCTCATTTGAATTGATTATAATTAACTTTCGATTACCCATAAAATTCAGCTAAAATTTTACATGTTTATTCACATAGCTACTATTATTTGAATTTTAACACGTTGATATGACTTCTCTCGTTAAAATCTAATAAATGACAGGGACCGTTGAGCATACTACGGATTTGAGGGGTGACTATACATTCAAAGGACCAAAAGCAAATTTGTTTGGAATTGTCTCAAGTACAGCTTTGGAAAGAAATTGGGGCTTAAGCCCCTTTCTAGACCCCTAGCCCCCCAGTCCTCAGCCCCAGTCCCTGCTTCTGCGGTCCCTGTATAAGGCAATAGTGACCAAAAATTAGTATAACCTTGTGCATTTGGAAGTTAAAGATAATTGCGACGCTTTGAGCAAAACGTTACTCCAGTGTTCTGCTCGCCTGGTGAAGAGTTATGCTCGAAAAGTCGCAATTATATTCAACTTTCAAATGTACAAGGTTGTTGTCTAATTATATCAATTTTCGGTCATTTTTTTACTAACTATATTGATAGTCAATCAAGAATATGTAGGAAGGTCAGAAAATTTGAGCCTTATACCATCATACGTAATAAGCCTGAATACACACAGTTCAAAAAGATTGTTGTCCACGCCCACATGTTTGTATCCAAATGAACCAAAGTTGGTGTGAGTATTTGTGCTGAAACAAGGATGGGTGCACCGAGGTGCATGACACATAATGTTACAAGATACTGGAATGTTGCTCTAAGCTTAAGATACGAAAATCTGGCATCTGTTGATTAGGGTGGGAAGATAACGACAGATTCTTATTGATGGAGCTAAGGAGGTCATTGTCTGAGGAAGGGGGGGGGGGCAGTGGCAAAGGCGAGTAAAGCAAGCCTAGCAGGAGATTCTGGGTAAGGATTTTGTTTTGTAACCATGGTATTTTGTTGCCAGGAAGGCAGAAAATGATTTTATATAAGCTGTGTCGTCAGCTATTTTACTACCTTGCTACAGATTTTTATTTTCCACAGACACCAAACTTCTGATTATTTGGGGGGGGTGCACCTTTTACCCCTCGCAAAGAAAGTGCTGCTTCTAAGATTCCTTCATTGGTCGTTACGGAGGTAACAGTTCTAATTAGATTTGAGGGATATTGAGAAGGCATGCTGAAATGGTTTGCTAGATGTTGCAAAATCTAAACAGAATCTTACAAAGAGATTCTCACAATTTCAGGGATCATGGAACAAAGTTAAGGCAACTGAAGGTTCATTAAAGAAGATAAGTTCAACGCCAGCATGACTCCATGTAGACTATAAATGTTTGAGTTACCGTATAAATTTATCTAATTTTTCTTTCAAGAAAGTCAAGAAAGTGTTTGTTCTTCTGAGTAAAAATGACGGTTATATATTCTTTAGGATTATTCACAATAAATGGTTTTGTGGTTATACAGTTCTTGAAACTGGAATTTTCTATTTGTCTAAAGGAACCTTTTTCATTTGTAGGCATTTAAAGGCAATGTTTGTAGACCCTTTAATATCAACTCTCGTTCAGGGTTTTTCTCAAGACACTGACTGTGCGTGGCATGAGTATCTTTTAGTCAGAAACACCAGCAAAAATGTCTCATCCAGTTGAAAACCAAACGAACAATGCGCAGGAGCAACTCACTTCAGTCGCGAAGGAGGCATGGATCTAACCAATGTACTAACGACTAAGCTTCATTTACAAGATTGTCTCAGGAGCTTCAGGCAGCCTAAAGAGTTCTTTAGCATCAATAACAAATTGCGAGAAACGCGGAGTTCCGTTAGACTGGGGCTCTTTAAACGATGGAACGAGAGGGCTTTTGTTTCTCAATGGCGCTTTCTTCGCGAAACCTAACGAAACTGGCAGTGACAAATTCTTTTCTCTTGTGAAGACACCGTTGGGTTTATGTACTGACAAGCTCGTCTTTCGCTCTATTGGCGGAGTATCGGTGCGGGCTCTAACTTCGATCTTCTTACGAAGATTATCCAGCTTCTTATTGATCAACGGTTGGTCCTGGCTGAAGAGCGATGGATTCGACAAGCTTTGGTCCGCTTTATCGCCATCACAGGAGAGCTGGTCGAACTGCGCAACCGACAATACGAGGCTTCGAAGCGCCCTCGTTTGGGGGCTGCCATTGGTTTCAGAAACCCATATTCGTAGTCTAATACACTGAAACGTGTTTTTGAAAGCAGTCCTGAAGTCTTTCCTGCCAATACCATAAATAATTGGATTGATAGCAGACTGAAAAATTATCATTAAATTTGATGCTTTGAAAATGTGCTTTGAGAGTGCCTCGCGTTTTTCCAGGTCGCCATAAACGAACCAGAAGAAGGTAATATGCTGTGGAGACGAACATATTGCATACACAAGGACAAGCGCAATCACCATACGGATCATTCGCCGATGCTGCTTGTGTTGCTCGGCCTGGTCTGTTTGGGACACGGCATTGTGGACCTTTTTCATTACGTATATCATATGGACATTTGCAAAGATAATAATAAATAGTGGGATAACAACTGTTAGTAGAAACATTGTTATCCAGTATATTCTCGTATTTAGTTGAGAAGGCCACTGTTCAACGCAGTACTTTGAACCGTTGTGCGTCTGTACTGCTGAGTAGTGAAAAAGCGGGTAGCTGCACGTGATTGACACGAGCCAAATTCCTGGAATTGTCCATTTCAATAATTTCTTGGAATCACCACGCCAGAGAAATGGCTTCGTCACTCCGCGATGCCTGTCAAGGGTTATTGCAACAAGGGTGAATATCGAAGCCATCAACGATGTTGGGGTTACAAAGCTGCAGACTTTGCACATAGTTTGTCCCATCACCCACCTTAAATCATTTTCATTTCTCACTATCTCGACGGGAATATACAGCAAAATAACTACCAAATCGGAAAGAGCCAAGTTGAATGTATAAATATGAATAACCCGTCGCATGAATTTTCGTGTAATTATCACGTAACAAGTTAGCAAATTACCAGCAGTGCCTAAAATGAAGACAATTATATAAATGCATCTTGCCGTAATCTTCCAAAAGTCACCCTCTTGATGTGGTAAACCAGTCTCATTTTGGCTTATGTTTGGATGCAATGAAGATTTGTTCCAGTTATCCATAACTAAATTTCATCTACGAGCAAATCTGCAAAAAAATGTAAAAAACATTTTAATTAGATGGTAAGAATATCATAAATGAAAACGGAGATCTCTTCATCTGTATTTACAAATCATATTTTCATTTTCTATGTAAAATTTGTAGATATTGTAACTATTAGTTAATTTAGTTTTAAAAAGGGCCAATTGTAAATCAGAATTGATCGAAATTTGTTACCTAGCATAAACATGTATTAAATGGAAAAAAGACTTGTGACAAGAGATGGGAAATAAAATTCCTGCTAACTGCCATATACTCTTTCCTTCTTACATTGGTAAAATTTTTAATTTATCAAAAGTGGTATCTTGTTGTTGGCAGGATGCTAAATCTAGGAATAAAACACGGAAACCAAATATTAAATACTTCTCTTACCAAGCCGTAGAAAGGATACAACTTTTGGGAAAGGGGCATCATTAATTGTTTGAGAACAGCAGGAAGAAGAGGAATTGTTCAAAAGGAACAAATGATTTGTACAGTTTGTTTTGGGGACACATCCCCGTCAAGAACAATAGTAGCTCTTTGCCAACAAGTTCTACCCTAAGCGAAGTCGAGTAACCTTACTTATCCATAGCACCCCATAAAGTTGCGTGGCTTGACCATCAAAACTATGAGAGTGGAATGCCATTAACAGTATACCTTGCCGATAAAGATATTGATGAAGAAAAAGTTTGGATGCCATTTCACCGACAATAGGCGATTGTACCGAAGAAAAAAGAATTTTGCTGACAAAAAATTAGGATTTACCGATCAGCAAATGAAGAATTAGAGGGAGTGTCACAGCCCTTTATACCCCCTCTAGCTACACTCCTAATCTCAGTTCAAAGAACACGTTTCTTGGTCATTCTTTTGATTAAGATGTCTTCTAGTTATACGTCAGTACACTGCAATTTCATTTGTGAAACTTCTTTATCATTCCCAGTCGATTTCTTGCAGACGATAATACGTTTAATCTTGAACTTTTTAGAATATCCGATGAACAATTGACCATAAACTAAAATCCCCTGTCACTGCAAGATTTTTGGCAAGACTTATTACATATTATAAGAATAAAGAATGTTTAAGGAATGTCTCCAGAAAGAGCTCAAGCGACTATTGGAGACAGACAAAAAGATAAGAGCGTTTTTAAAATATCATTCGAAGAAAGGAGAATGACAGGTCTTATCTTAAGAAATATTTGCCGTCGTTTTTCAGCCAACACTCTTTCAAGGGTGAATTTTCCCTTAAAAATTCTATTCGTATACTACATTTACTCTATTTTTTGAGAATCTAGTAAATTAAGATTGAGAATCTTCATGCTGTAATTTCGTTGCTTGCAACACAGTTTCAGTTTTGAAAGCTGCATAGAGCTTCTTCTTCTAACAACTACTGTATTCTTGTGTATATGTATTTTTTAAAATATTGCAATCATCATCAACCTTAGTATCAGCTAGACAATATTTATTCAACTAAGTTTCGTTAACATAAGCATCTAAGAGACTGCATTATGGATAGAATTCACTACTATCAGCTCATGCCTAGCAGCAGCATTTATTAACCAGAAAACCAACTATCGATAAACATTTATTTTAATTCGTGGATGATTTGATTCCGTTTAGAAGTGAATGCCAGATCTTCAATACAACAGTACAATCTATCGGAATTTTACGATCTATGGAATAATGTCACAGTGCAAGCTCAAAAGAGCATGGTAATAGTGCTATAAGAACTGAAACTCACCTTGACAAGTACTGTAAATTCTCGGGAACTGATGTGTTGCTTGCACCTAGGAGCACGAGAAACAAGCATATAAGTTACAAAATATTCAGGCCATCTAGGAATCGTTTCTTAAATAGAGATTTTGTCGGTCTCAGGTTCTTTAAATATAATGTGAATTGTCTATGAATCATTAAAGTAACGTGGTGAAGAATCCTTTTAAAGGGAATACCCGAAATGAATGATAAAACAGTTGCATGGTAAGAGGCAAAGGTTCTGAAGCCGAAGAGCAAACTCAATCCTGTAAAAAGCAAGATTAACAGTGAGGCTTTCAAGTGGAGTTTCTCATCTACAGGATATTGGCCTAATTTTAAAGAATATGTGAATGTTAACAAAAATCAAGACAGATGTGTTTAAAATTACAGAAAGGAAGGTTTAGTTCGATAAGTGTTCTTTAAATGCACCGCGACCAATGCTCCAAAGAAGAAATACTGCCAAAAAGGTGCAAAATTTGCATGACACGACAGAAATGGTAATTCCAAATTAGAATGCTGTTTTTTTGTATTTTTCTGCTCCACAGAAAAAATTCTGATCAACGGATAATGGAAGGTTTCAGTTCAATAAGTCTGTTGATTACCAATTTATGTTATATCTTTGTTGTTTTACCAATGATTACAACTGGTGGGCCCCCAACTGGAAATTCCTAAAAACCCTGGATGCCTCTGTTACGCCGCTGCCAACAAAGAAAGTGGTGGTTGGGAGGCATCTTGTGTCTGCTACTATGACGACAGAAAATTTCATCAATTTTGAAACAAGAACTTCAGGGAACTTCAGATGGAAAATGGCAGGCTTGTATAAAAAAACTGGCATCTATGCTGAAATCTTGGCCAAACTGGAAATGTTGACACTTTTCGCCGAGATTTTGGTTGCGAGTATGCTGTTTAATACCAGAATCCAGAACAGTGTCCACATTTCATCCGGACAACACTCTGCAAACTCTGCAGACTCAGAAAACGACGAAAACAATGTAAGCTACAGTTTGGGCGTGGCATAATAATTTCTTACGTTTTCATTGGCGCTCTTCACGGTCACTGAGAACGTGACTGCCGTGTTTACTCAGCTCATTTCATAGAGATTTAATACAATGTTTGGGTGCGCGAGCACGCTTCACCCATCCAGACAGTCATCATGTGTGAAGCGGACACACCCATAATTATTGCGGTGACCGTAAGGCGTGTGTAAACCAATGCTAACCGAACCGGGTGGACTTATAACAGCCGGCTACGCAAGTGACGTAATTTACATACCGGTGTGTGGAAACTCTTTCATACATTTCTCTTAGAAATTCCATTTATCTCTTGTGATTGTATAACAATTTTTCCATGTTATATCCTTCTCTTTGTCAGAACAAAAACAAACTTACAGAAGATTCTACAAAGCCAGTTGGAAACAATACAAGTTGCAATAAAAAGCTCATTGGAGGAAATCCGATTTTGGATATCGTTTTGTTTGTTAGTATTATGAAAATATTATAATTTGAAAACAGTTCGTTTTTTAAAATATTAAGATTTCAGACCTGACCACAAATCAAACAGTGCTTAAAACGCAAGGCAAGTTGGGAAAACAGCAGACAAGTCACGGTAATACAAAATGGAAGAAGTTTATGATCGCCGAATGTCGCTCACCGCAGGGCCTAAAAAACCGTAAATCTTTGAACTGCCCCCCTTGAAAAACCCCTCTCAAATAAGCCCCCACCCCAGAACTACAAATTGTCAATAAGCCCCCCCCCTCGAATAAACCCCCACTGCTACCGCAAATTCTTGAACTGGACCCCTCCATTTGATGATTTCTGCCATCTGAGGTTGCCTATGGCGTTTTATGGAATTACCACAACAAATTCATACTTTTGGTAGTAATTAATTAAATGCTCATAAAGAAATTCGTATTGAAATAAACGAGGCATTTGAATAATCTCTTCTTAATGTCTACAATAATTTTATAAGCCCCCCTCGTATAAGCCCCCCCTCGAATAAGCCCCCATCCAAAAATATAAAAAATAAATAAGCCCCCAGGGGGCTAATTCGAGGATTTACGGTAAGCGTGGATCTGACTCACTTTGTGGAGTTGAAAATTGAAATTGTGAAACTGTAATTGTAGAAAGTGTGGATTAGTAAATAGTGCCTTCTTGACAGTGCAGCATAAAATACCAATCGGAACGCCTAAGATAGAATTAGGAACATCAATGCAAAGTGAGAGCCCAATCCCAGCCTTATGGATTGTACTCATTTTTTATATGTAAATTGCTATAAGAAATAAACAATGGACAATAAAAAAGAGTTAAGAAACTTCGAAACTCGAAGCTTCAGTGCATGCGGAGAAAAATCAATTGCGCTTTGTGATATTGTTGTGTGCTATTTTGAGGTAAGATGGACTCGGTATACAACTTCAACTACAAGACATCATCTCAGGTTTGTTTGCTTTTAAGACTTACTAAAAAAAGCTAATTGAAACTTCTGCCCGTAATATATTTTAGGGTTTATGAAGATTTCAGTAGATTTCAGAAAATGTTGCAAAACAATTCAGCTAAGGTGTTTTAAATTGGAGAAGCATTGGAAAGATTCCTCTCAATGCTAAAGCAGTTGAACCTCTCGGTGGTATATGGGAGGAACATTTAATTGGAAATGTTACATAACAGGGGCTTTAGTCCTCCCCAACTTTTTGCAATAATAGGTTAGAAAAGGTTCTGAGGGTTTAGTCTAACGAACCCATTAGTAGCAGTTCTTCTTGACTAGGAAATCGTTTTTGTTCTTTTTCATGGTGCTTTATCCTATTTTATAAAAGATAAACTTGTATTTATCTAACTCGGTTTTGTATTTTTATAGCAATTGAAATTATCTCTCAATCGCGATCTTTATTAATAAGGACAGAAAGAAGAAAATATTTTCTGTAAGGGGTGTTTTCCCGTGTTTCAAAGGATGTGGCCGTAAAAAATCTAGGGCAGGCCCCTTAGCTCCGTTCAAGCCATTCCCCAATGGGCTGGTGCGTGGTATCTGCGTTACCAACAAGATGAGGGGAAAGATCATGCTTTCAAACTACGCGAAAGGAGAATAAGAACAGACTAGCACAATTTTTACATAGGTTAGAGAAGAGATTATTTGCCATCCGTAACAAGGCTCTCGTTAATAGCATCAAACTTTTTGAAGAAAAGAAAGAATTTGATGGGTTGAATGCAATTAAAATGACTTTTGAAGGTGTCACTCAGCTTTTGTCACGGAAAAATATTTAGCAAGATTTCATTCAATCGTGTATTGAAATTCGAGAAATAAATGACTAAGATCACACAGATCTGAGACTTGTTCTCAGAGGAATTATTCCAGGCGAGACAATGGAACGCATTCTCTCAGCAAACCCCTACAATCCTGGCCAAAAGGTTAGTGGACTGGTGAGAAAACCACGATAATTGCCACTTTACCACAAAAATATTATCAAAATATTATCCCTGCAAAAATGTTGAGTTTTTTGAAAATACCCAAGTAACAGCAATCGAAAAGAGTAGAAATAAGCGTATCAACATTGACTAGGGGGGCGGGGGGGGAAGGGGGGCTGGAGGCGGGGAGCGTATTTTTCAAAATTTGCCAGCCAGTCTAAAAACTTTTGGCCAGGGTTGTAGTTCTGCCGATGTAGAGAGGCTGATTCCCATCTACAAAAAGATAGTAACAAGTTGGCTAAGCAGCATAGCTCCAGAAACGAAGTAACTTTTGGAGCTAAAAATTACACAAATTGTGTTTTACGAAAGTAGCAATCGAGTGTTTCATTGTGTAATTTCGAGTGTTTCGTTTTCCTTCTTGATTTGATCTTCACATTTTCATATATTAAACGTCTTTCTAGTCCTCTTTCTGTTTCTCACTTTATTTTCTAGCTACAGCTAAGAGTTTAACGGCACTAATACAGAATTCTAATGTACTATGCAGGCGCGGATCTAGGCCGGTTGCACAGGTTTCAAAAAACCGGGCAAATTCTAAGAGCTATGTTTTTTTGTAAATATGTTTCCCTTATGCGAGAGAAACCGGTGGCTAAAAAGCATATTCGATATCGATATCCATAGCTTGAAAGTGTGAACGCTTTAAAACAAAATCATACAAAATTAAATACGGAGGCAAATAAGAATCTGAGGTTTTGTGTTGAGGGAATAAACTTTCTTTCTCGGAAAAATTCATGAAAGTTAGAATGGAAGTTGCAAGAAGAGGATCAAAGGCCATGCTGAAACGGAGTAAAATTCTGACATATTAGATGAAAATGTGGGCAAATTAATCACTTTTTACTAGCCTCATCCGCAACTTTTAACAATATTTATGGACCAATAACACACAGGGCTGTAATGGGGTAAAGCACCCCGAAACCGGTCCAAATTTTGGCTAGATCCGCGTCTGCTATGTGCAATTTTCATGGCACCAAAAGTGCAGTTGAATTAAGGAACTTTTAATACTACAATTCTATAAAATAAAGTCCAAAAATAAGGAACTTCAACGAGCTAGGTTTCTTATAGCCTGCGCCCCAGTCCATAGATGCGGCTGCAGAATTCTTCGTAAGAGAATTGCTGCAGTTTCTTACAAACGGTTCATAACAACCTTAAAGAAGTGCACAGCGAAAATCTAACAAATTTATCGATGAAAACAAAATGAAAGTTTCGAAGAAAATGTTCTTTCAAAAATGACCCTAATACTCGAAGTGCTAAAAATCTGAAAATATCTAAGAGATTCGGATATGGCAGAATCCTTCATTTAAGACAGCGAAGTGAAAATAGCAGATAAGAAGTATACAATATATAATAAAGCCCAACAGGATGAAATTTGACAAAAATGAAGTCATTTTGTGCCTAAGAAGACGTAAATCTCGATTATTTTCAGAATATGAAATGATGTTTTAGCAAACTTGAAAAGTAAAGCATCGTATCTGTCCCTTGGAAATTTTTGCGAAATTTTGAAGACCTCGTTAGTCTAGATGAATTCTCAAAACTCTCTCTAAAAGAGAGATGTGTTTCAAATGGTTAAGATACTTCTTGAAATAAACAGCAATCTAAGATTTAAGTCGTAACGAATCAAAACGATTTAATCCTTTGTAATTTTAAAGAATTCAAAATCCACAAATAAGTTTAAATTTGTTTTTTTGGCGAGAATGAAGGTGCAAGATTAAAAACCAGAAGGTCGAAGCAAAAACAAAGATGAAGAACTCACTTTGTGCCGGGGGCTGAGATCAATATGACTTGCAAATGTGTCTTGTGCTTTGGTGATGGAGATGCAGACGGTCAGATTAGCTTACGGTGATTGCGATAAACGATTCGAACTCTATCGGATATATTCATATTGAAACCTGAAAGGATTAGCTTTGTGTGTAAGAAAATACGTTTGCTTTGCCATGGTCACGTAAACAGAAAACCACAGAGAAAAATACAGCATTGCCGCCAGTCCAATCCCAGTTCATCCCAGTCAAACCCAGTCTCAACGCACAACAACGTACAGGGCGATTTTGATGACGAAAAATATGACTATAATGATTGCTACTTTCATTATCGATTCATTGATAGAACTGAGTCATGTGTTCATGTTGCGATGATAATTGTTGAAGGCTATGATTGATGATGATTAACGATAATAATAGTAATAATAATAATAATAATAATAATAATGATCAGACCTCCCTTCAATTACAAACAACTACGTGACGTACAGCATGATTAAATCTTAAGCTGGTAATCATTTACGTTGACTTGACACAACGTCACATCTGTCCTCATCCTCGAACTCGAACCCTCCTAATCAAGTTCTAAGTAAAACGCTAAGTGCTGACATTGCCCTATGATATCAACAAGACTACACGAAACTAGGAGATTATCAAACTAGCGACATTAGATATTGTACTTTGAACTGAGAAACAGTTAAGCGAAAATCAAGGTAGGTTCACTGAAAGCAGATACGGCATTTACTCGAATAAACGCCCCAGCTGGTTTTTCTAAAAGTTCAACTTTTAACCTGGCATTAACTCAGACTGGAGTTTTTCGACGACAAGCGTTTCTATATTTCTAATTTTTTGTCCTATCAGAATATGAGTTTCAATGTCCTTTATGAAATAGCGTCTTTTAAAAATTTGAACGAACTCCAAACCACGAACAAGTGGGCAAAACAGGATAAATTTGCCTGGCGTTGACTATGGCTGCTCATTTGTAGCAATAAAATGTATTCAATAAAATGTATGAAATTCAAAAACCTATTCAGTACAGAAAATAAGGCCAATGCAAAAAAAATGTATTCAATGCAGAAAAACATGTTCAATGCAATATAATCTTTCAATCCAAAACAAAATGTTCAACATCACTGGGGCGAACGCGTTCGTCTTAGGGCTTAAGGCACTTAAGGGCCTACACAATATAAAAGATGGACGAAGTTGATGACGATCAGGAAGAAATGCATTTGAAAAGTTTTTTTAATATTCCTGAAAGAATAGAAGGAGATATTACAAGAATTTCCAATCTTGAAAAGAAGCTGGAAGATGGAGCCTTTAATTACGCTGAAGATGGCTCATTGGATGATGAATGTTACCTGATTGGAACCCTGGGTACAATTGAATTGCTCAATTCAGCGATACAGTTTCTTTTTATCAACAATACACCGGTAAATATTAGTGTGAATGATGGAAGAGTATGCTCAGATCTAGAAAATATGCTAAACATGCTTAGAAAGAATCTCGAAGATTTACATTTGAATTTGTCATCAAAATTTAACACTGTGTGCGCTGAGAATTCCAGGAAAACGTGTAAGACATGCTGGTCGACCTCGTTTGTCAATTCCAAAAGAAACCTTGGAGGAATTGAATTGCGTGGTATGCGTTTTTCCTGGAGCAAAATTGCATTAATGTTTGGAGTATCTAGGTGGACGATATCCCGCAGAGTTGAAGAATATGGATTGACCCATCGATAGCAGTTGAGCGATGTTTCTGATGATAGGCTCGATGAAATCATTTTGGATTATATCTCAAGGCATGGTTCGACTACTGAAGAGCCATACATAACCGGTTACTTAAGGTCAGTGGGAGTGCATGCGCAGTGAAGAAGAGTACCAAGCAACACCAACAGGGTGGATCCTTGAAATGGGGTGTCTTGGTGTCACGGAGGACATATAGTGTTCCTTGGCTAAATTCATTATGGCATTTAGACGGACATCATTCTTAAATTAGATGAAGTTAGTTTGTTTTTCGGACTGCCTACTTGATCTGCTGTTGTCATTTTGAATGTTCAGTGGCGATCTTGGCCTACTTTTTGGTGGCGGCCCTGATATTGAAGTTGATCATCTTGTCCTACTTCTGAGGAGTTGTGATGCCTCCTCCAGCAGATCAGCAGTCTTGTTGGTTATATCATTTTTATCAGCTATTTTTGTGTTCTCACATTCAAAGACTTGTGTCGTGTTATGACTAGTTGTGACCGGTTGTGACTCGAGCGGGTTGTCTAATAAAAACGAAGCACACAGAAAAGACGCGCTTTCCCCAGTCTCTTCATATTGCACATATTTTCTACAATGAAGACATTTTTTTGCACTGAAAACACTTTTTTGCATTGAATAATTTTTTTAATTGAATACAGATTTTTGTATTTTTTATAAGTTTTACATTAAATCTTCCTTCAAATGAAGAATGTTACAATTAAAACAAGTATTGAATCGGGTATTGCATGAATAACACATTTGATTGAATATTGCTAGAAATGGGCAGCCATAGTTGTTTAGAGACCGGCTTTTATTCGAGACAATTAATTAGGCTCCTTTTTGGACACTTTTCCATTTAAAGCTCATTCAGAACCGCGACTTTCCGCTTGTCTTTTATATGTCATCTTAAACTGACAACGGCCTAATCTGCCATTAAGTACAAAATTCTTAACCCAAGATAGAAAACACTGCCACCTATTACGATAAGTGTGTCTAGGCAAAGAAGTTTGTTTTGAATATGGTACATTGTATTCGACATCGCTTTTCAGAAAGCGATGGAAATCGACCTTGTTCTTCGGAGGATTGAAAGGACAATATCGATGAGGCTTCCCACAATGCTCGGTTACTCTGTTTTGTACAGAACAGGATGTATACACGAACTGTGTTCGATTGAAGCCTGGTTTTCATTATCACCAAAAAGCAGCAATGGTGATCCTGCGGTATAATTCTGACGTGTTTATGAAAACACAGAATAGTTGTAGGCAACTTCACGTCTCTTACGATTCTCGGTCCCAGGCCCCCAACCCACTACGTCCAAAGCACAGGCGTCACTTGTTTGTTTGCTTATTTACTCTGTGCTATGAAGTTTATCAAGATAAGCTACGTTTGGATTTGCTAGCATTTAAGAAACCTTAGGCTGATCCAAACAATCTATTTTAAAGATAAAAGTGATCAAAGATTGAGAGCTCTAGATTCCATACTAGCTATTATCAGCAAGTTTTGAATGGTCAAGTGCAATCTGATCATTTTCGAGAATGGGCAGCTGTTTGGTCTGGAGAACGAACGTCTGCGAAAACAGCGTGTTATAAAACAATAAATTGGCAGTACAGTGTGAGCAACGATGACTAGCCTGTACGAAGCCTCGACTACTTTTCCTCTGATTAAGAATTTAAGAATTTAAAATTAAAATGTTTCCATTATTATCGGCAGTTTGACATTGTCTCATTTTCAGCCACAAAAACAACCTCTCTTTCACGGAGATAGCGTAACAACGAACGTCTGCGAAAAAAGCGTGTTATAAAACAATAAATTGATAGTACAGTGTGAGCAACGATTACTAGCTTGCACGAAGCCTTGACTACTTTTCCTCTGAGATTTGAGGCTCCGCGCAGGCTAACGATAACCAGACTAACAAGCATCAGGTTACAATGATTACAAGGAGTTTAAAATGAATGTGTTGATTCGGGGTGGGGGAAGTTGCCTATTAGTTTTCTTTGCATATTTTCTCCAGGATAGTGCTGTCAAAGACCTTCTAATTGGCCTCGGATGTATAAATATGTGAGCATTAAGAAACAGATATTTCAACTTAAAGAAAAAATACTAAAAAATGCGAATAGAGTGAAAATTAGCGTTTTTGTTTTAGATTTGTAACTACGTTTAACTTTTGGGTTTGAGACTTTCTTTCATACTTTTTGCATCTAGGAGTTGAATTGAATAGTGGCATCTGAGGCTCCAGTCTTGGTATTATGTTACAATCAATGAATACGACAGTGCGCTAACTGGCACGGTCTAAAATCTTGAAACGCTAGTATAATTTTAGTGAATCAAATAACTGAAACTATCCGTCAGGCGTGAAGGAAACGACATGAAAAATACTAAAACAAAGAACAACTATTTGGTTAGGGTGGGATCTTCAACCTCCCAAAAAAATTGATTTCCCATCTTTGTCAGCAATATTTCCCGGCTTCCCCGTTCAATGGCTGATAAAATTAGGCCTATAATTCTCAATATAGGATCATACCCCAAACAAACTTTTCAAGATGTTTGCAATTTCATCACTTATTTTTGCATTATTTATTTTACTACTTGAAAAACTTGCAATTTACGAAATAAAAGACGGTGAATTGGAATGGTTCAGCGACTACCTGCTCTCTCAAAAGGCAGTGGTAGCATTCAACAGCTGTCTCTCAAATGGGCAGGTCTTGTTAACAGGAGTACCACAAGGTTCAATACTTGGTCCTCTTTTGTTTCTCATCTCTTTCAATGATGCTGTAGAAGTCATGGAGTATTCAAGCATTCTAAAATATGCGGACGATACTGTGTTGTATGACGCAGGCAAAAAAATCTATTCAATTGAAAACAAACTATCAAAAGACAGGGAAAATCTGTCAGAGTGGCTGAGATGCAATGCGCTCATATTGAATTCACATTCTTTTTGGAACAGCACAACGAATTGCGAAACAGCGAAACGAGCCACTCAAACAACCCCAACAGTAATTAACAACACAACGGTTTATAAATATCTTGGCGTCCAAGTGGATATCACACTCAACATGAACTCCCATTTTGACAAATGTTTCAAGCGTGCATCTGGTAGACTGCGACTACTGGCAAAATTAAGATCGTGCATGGACAAATACAGCAAATATGATCTATCGTACCATGATTCTTCCAACATTTACTTACTATGGTAAATTACAACTAAAGCTCACAACCACGCAAATAAGCAGACTTTCCTCATTCCACTCTCGATTACTGAAGATGGTTTATGGTGATGTGATGAATCAGCAGACCAAAGACTCATGTCAGTTATAAATGCGAATAAAATACCTGGACAATTATATATGTAAACACTTTCAGAATTATTTCACTCTGATAGAGCATGAAAAGGAAACAAGAAATAACACTTGTACACGCGATTACTGAGTAGTAAAAAAGAATATGCACGAAAGTAATTTCTGTGTATGGGTGCTAAAGTGTACAATGAGTTACCTTCAGACATACGTCAGACAGAGACATATAAGGAATTTATTGAAAAACTTAAAATGCATTATGTGTGACATGATATTAACGGCGTAATAAACAATACTTCATCTCGTTGCGACACCAGGTTTTATAGATTTTATTCTTGCAAGATTTTTTCAACGGCTTTAATGTAATACATTTTCTTTCGATTTCATTTAAGGTTTAGGGCACAGGACACAGTGATAACAGCAATGTTGTAATTGTTGAAGTGTTCATCCTGTATAAATATTCGTTTTGTTATTATTATCATCATTATTATTATTCATTAATATTATTTTTCATTAATATCAGACATGTCTTCTTCATACAAATCCGTCACCTTGGACAACCTTTCTATCGGTTCACTTGGTTTCTTTGGCCAAGCATCCACTTCTTTCCTCGAAATGTGTGACATGTTTAATCTTGTTTAACAACACACACACTATATGATACGTGAACTGTCAAACATCATCATAAGATCTACCTACTACCTCTTTTGCCGGCGTAGCAAAACATGGGACAACCCAAAGCTTCTTTCTTTTTAACGAATGTCTTGTTACTCTCTATTGTCAGTACATCTTTCTGTCGTTATGACTACGTGTAACATTTAGTCAACTTATGTAACAGGCAAGCCATTTACAAAGAACCTCATCTTGTGAGCGTTGTAACTGTATTGTTTAAGAATTCAAAATGAAAATGTTTCCATTATTATCGGCAATTTAACATTGTCTCATTTTCAGCCTCAAAAACAACCTCTTTTTCACGGAGATAGCGTATCAATGGTATCAGCAATATATATGTTATTTGAAAACTATAACCAAACTTTTCAAATGTTGCAATTTCCAAACAGTCAATAAAAGATTCCCTAACTCATAATACTGTTGTTCATGCCAAAGCTATTTCGAGATTGGAAATAATTTACTATATAGATAACAGCTTACAAGGCTACTCAAGAAGTCCACCGTCTTTTCCAGCTCTAGGTAGGCACAAAGGCTTGGGCCCTCTAATTCTTGGCGTATGACTAAAAAGGCTGGAGGAATGTTAGCAAAGCACAAATAATTAGTTTACCTTTTCAACACTAGAGTAAGATCGAAACTCATTACAGAGTTCTGTTGTGATCGGCTAAATTGACTAATTATCTTTGGTTGTAAGATTGCAATAATTTCGTGATTATAGAATAAGACTAAAAGTCCCAATATCGGGGCCACAATCTCATATAATAGAACTTGCTCTTATCTCACTCATCCAGAAAGTAATGTTAATATGGAAGATATATAATTGGCTAAAAGTTTAGCTGCACGAAATTAGAACCGAATTATTATGATTCATTTTCAAGGTGGAACTTCTGTGGCTGTGGGTGTCAACTTCTGTCGTTGAAAGAGAGTTTCGTTGATTGTCTGAAGCGTTTGAAATATAACGAGGCTTCAAAAGACTCGATGCATATTGACCCACGATTTTAAAGATAATAAGGACGCGAATGCCTCTAAATTACTTGCTTCAGTACATTGAGTTCAGTTTCAATTTTTATGGAGCTTTTTTCCATCTAAACGATTTTCACTGATGCCTTACACGATGGTTGAGTGCAAAACACAGTACTCGTTAGCTGAAATGCATTTTTAGCTATTTGGGTCCAACACTTAAAGCTAAGGCATCGTGTCAAGACAAGCCAAGCTATGTAGGTATAGTTGGTGAAAAAGCTTAAACCGACGATTCAGCATTCTTCAACAAGACATCATTACTCGAAAATGCTTACATAAAGAGACAGTAAGGAAAGACAGTAAAGAGCTATGTGTTGTGTTGTGTTGTGTTGTGTTGTGTTGTGTTGTGTTGTGTTGTGTTGTGTTGTGTTGTGTTGTGTTGTGTTTGTTTTTTGTGTTATGTTTGTTGTGTTGTGTTGTGTTGTGTTGTGTTGTGTTGTGTTGTGTTGTGTTGTGTTGTGTTGTGTTGTGTTGTGTTGTGTTGTGTTTTGTTGTGTTGTCTCGTCTTGTCTTGTCCGGTCTTGTCTTGTCTCTTTGCATCTTCAAATGCATTTCGTTATCATCAATCAAAAGCTTTAGCTCTTTAGGAACCTGGAAACTGGTCTTGCTAAATGACATCACGGTGTGGGCTAACTAACGTCTTTACGCAAATCCAACGTATCTTTTTGGTATTTAGCCATGAATTTTGCCTTCACTTACGGATCAAAATTTTAACAGAAAACTCCTTTGACAATATGAAAATTCCAAACATACACGATTTGTGGACACCAGATGTACGTTTCGCAAAATCCGACACATTACAAGGTATAAAAGAGAATATGATTCATTAACACTTTTTCAGATGAAAAAGGCACATTTTTACCACTAATCTGATTTTAGATTTCCCTTATGTCATAGCAAAGAGATTTTCAGAGTATATGAACGAAGAGAACAGACGTGCTTGTACTATAGAAGCTACAAAGCCTTCATCAGGAGAGGAAGTAGCCGACTGGTTGATCAAGCTAAATGTCAGTTAAAAGTCATGGATCTCCTCGAGAGGATTTAAAGTTCAGCACCATAACGCTTGTACGCAAACAGGTCAGGCCCTTTTAAATACTTCAGTAAACCAGAAAGAAGTAATGTTTAAAGACTGTTAAAGATCTAAAACCATTAGTGTATCGGCTACGCCGGTATTTTTCTTATCAATCACCTCATTTGAAATTCAGCGCTCACATTGACAAATAATGTCCTGAATGAATACAGCAAACATACAGCAGAAAGATGTCTAGAAAAGATAAGCGTTAAGTTCAGGTCGCGACGGTTATCGAGGGCATTTCCCGTAGCATTTACACTCTTTTTTATAAGAACACGAGCCTCAAACCAGGTCAAGAGTTAAGAACAAATTAAGAATAAGCTGAGGCTTAGCTTCTGCAAAATGCAATTTTGAACAACGTTTTTTCTCAAAATCGAGGATTTTTAGCGATGTGTGGGTGTTTTTCGGTGAATATTCAAAATTGTCAGCAAATTAAGGCTGTCTCACTCACTTTGTTGGCAAATGAGGCCTGAACACCTCCTTAGAGCGAAAAACTAGCAATAGCACTGCCTACACCCTCTTAATTCAAGAACAAATTAAGAACAATCCAGCTTCAGATTTTCGAAAAAATTAAAAAAACGTCAGCCTGAACTTAAATTTACTGGTTCTTATAAAAAAAGAGTGTATCAATGAAATGAACAAATGCCTCTTTTGACCGAAAAACGATCCTTTTTGAGTAGAGGTAGCTATTTTGTCAGAAAAATTACCCTCCTTCATGATTAAGTGCTGTTTTTCTAAAAAGGAGACATGTCTTGATAGTGATTTTTTTCTTGCCACGGTAGCCTTACCCCGTCTCGAGTCCATAAATACGCAATGTCCTTACGTTTTCCTTTTTGGCAAATCGAGCCTTGATGTTCTTATAAAGATTGTTTTTTATAAAGACAAAAGTGTTCGGATGGTTGCATAAAACGTAACAAAGCCTGACAAACAGGAGCGGTCAAACTTGATGAAATTTGGTATGACGTCATCTGAAATGGAAAAGGTACCTTTCCTTTGCGTCGATAGAGTTTGCGAGACTACGCTAGTGAATTATTGTCAATAGTCACAAATAGCTAATATTTACCCTTCCTCTGGACAGTGGAGGTAAACAGGATAGACTCAGGGTTGCATTTGCCAGGGAGGGCACCCAATTTCCACAAATTCTAAAAGTTTAGTATCATCGTTCGGGAGACGAAACCTTTAGTCATTTGTTTCGAAATAATACTGTCTTAAACCAATCAGTGTTGCAGGGTCATTGCGGCATACGGGGCTTCATTAGAGCAAAAGTAAAAAAAGAGCATCAGTTTGATCAGTATACAATTAAACAAAAAACAAATTATACAAGGAGAGAGAGGGGAAGGGTGGGTAAATAGATCACATGGGATGGCTCTCCCGGTTTAGTTGAAACAATCGTCTTGACAAGATTAAATCCGGTGAAGGCAGAAATGTCTATATGGATTATGCTGTCACACAGCATGGTGACGCCATTTCTTTACTTTGTAGCGATAGAACCAGTGACGTCTTTGACCGGAGGCCACCGAGGAGCAGTGGATATATATCTTTACTAAAAAATTCTTAGCCGTGTAGGAAAATTCAGTAGGACTCCACTGAAACTCTAATGTTCCTCGTGCACTCATACCAAAATGTTCGGAAACTTTGGCTCCGAAATCGACACTTCGAACAAGATGACGCTCTAGATAGACCTTGCAGAGGCGGAGGAGACATGGGGCGGAGGGCTGCAGTCGAATTTCAGGCCTATTCGGTGAATTTTATCTCAATAAAGCAACAATATTAGGCCCCCTCCCCTAATACGCTCAGCCCCTAATACGCCCATGAGACTTTGTATGATCATAAATAGCGTGCGTGTAAAGCCTGCACGCAGACTATGGATGTGACCCTAACCCTTGATTGAGATACAGATACCTTGTTGGAGAGTTCGATGACCCGGTCGTTTGATTTCCGACCTTCGAATATCATCAGATCGCTACTGTAGCCGTTGGAAGGACTGTCCGTTTGAATATATTCAACCCAAATATGTCAAACGTTGCGAACTTGATATTTGAAGCCTTTATTTTGTTGACATAAATGTTTATATCAAAGAAAAGGGAGGCATTTAACGATAAATGTTTACGTAATTTGAAAACGGTACCTTAATCAGAAGATATTGATTGCCTGGCACTTCTCTCGTCTTGATCATAACCTGCACTTTACTTTCTTCAAACGGAAAACTCTTTATAGAAGCAAAGCAACCGAATGCTTCCAAAATCAACAACCCACCGACAAAAGGTATCGTTTTCTTCGCACTTCAACTGCCCACTGCCAACTAGGTTATTTGCTTTTGCAGCTGCAGGGAGAGATAATTGCATTGTTTATCAAGAACTGATACCATCGCACGCAAACAAGTGTCCATACGATTTGCAGCTAAGAACATTTATCTGGTATGCCTATTTCATTGAAGCAATGAACAAAGACAAACGATAAAGGTAGTACGCATGACCAAGATGCATAACGGCTTGCTGTTCTAGATAAACAAACCATGAAAAGAGCCTTGAATTAGATTAGGATGAGCTTATGTCTTTAGAAATCTATAGGCAACAATGAGAAATCAAATGCCTCATTCCACGCGGGTATGAACATCATTTATGCAAGGTGACAGAAAGAAACAATGGGACATTGCCGTGATAATAACAGTCTTGTCACCTTTGATAATGGCCTTTGAATAAATCATGATGAATAATTGTACCTTTTTATTTTATTTTCTGCCACACAATGTCGGAGATTTGGTACCTGGTAATAATAATCGCTACCTGTCCGAGGGATGGTGTGTAGACCGCCGCTATCGAATCATATCGAATGGAATATTTTCCACACGGCTTCGAATGCTCGCGAGAGTTCTTTTCGTATGCTCTTTTCAGAAAACAGGCCTAGCAAATGCAGCCATGTTAATTAGCTTCTTTTCTTATCTTTTGTTTTAATCGAAGCATCGTCTCTTTCTTCTAAAGGAATTGAAATATGTTGATAGATACATGATAAATCAAATAAGTCTTATTTTCTATTTGTATTTTCCGTGAAAATGTACTGGATGTATTATCAAGGCTAGGTACTTTAAAAAGAAGATCACTTGCTTTTAGGTCAGGGCGCGAAACGACAACAACACAGTCGGCCATACTTTTTAATGTTACTTTTTGAATCCTAACTTTCACTCGCAATAAAGTGTATTACTGCTTTTGGGTAACTGGCATTTTGACTACAATCCTGGCCAAAAAGTTATTGGACTGGTTGGCAAACTGCAGTCTTTTTGTAAAAACACATTCCCCAACTCAGCATTGCTGCAGGGGTGAGTGGTTTTGATAACATTTTCGGTTTGGATTGTAGGATTGGTATGAAAAGAAAGGATTTGCCAAAAATGTTTTTAAAAAGCATAGAAAGAAAATATCCAATTTTGGCACAACAATAAGGGCCTCGGCCCAATTGTGCTTCTTTTAATCTATACCCCTGGTGTCATACAAATATATTTCTTATCGTATTTACTGTTAACTCACTTAATATTACAGATTAACTTTTAAGCTATATATGTAAAAAAAATCAAAATTTTCGTCTTCAACACGTGTGCTAATTTCACTTGAAACAAAGCAAGGAAAGTTTAGAAATCCGTAATGGTCTTTCTTAATTTACATGAACGCAAATTCATTAAACCCATGAAGAGGTTTTAATATCTGTACGAAAAGAATGGCACTAAATTTCGGAAAGCAGATTTCTAGAGACATCTAGAATTTCTAAAAACGATTTTCTCGTGCACATGTTCGTGTTAAATTCAAAAAGCTAAATTCAATATGTTTTCAATCACAACTCTAAAAGGCTTAAACAATCGAGTTATTTGATTTTGCTAAGCCATCCTTTTCAATTTCCATGACGACACATTCTTTAGACGCTTTTATTTTTAATATTCTTATATAATTATGTTTAACAAGATGAACTTCATTTAACGCAGTTATTGATGTTTAGTATTAGATAGGAAGCTGCTTTGAATCTTGGCTATAGGGTTCATAAACTGTGAATTGATAATCATGCACCGTTTAGGGTTTGCGTGGCACACGAGACCACTCCCTTTGGCCTCATTCCAGCGCTTGTTACAAGGTTGGATCAAACCATAGAGATAAGATCTTGAGCAACCCCAAACCAGTGCATTTATTGCTTTTCAGAAGAATCATGAGGAACATGTTTTGATAAAAATGGGGGGGTGATTGTCTCGTACCTCCAGCCCCCTTGGCGCTTCAGCTGCTTGCACGTGAAAACAGTCTTAATGTATTCAGCCTTCTCTCTCACATGGTTCTTATGTCTAAGATAACCAGATTAAACTCATATCTCTTTTCATATATTCATTCCAAACAGCAGATAATTTTAGTTATGTTTTAATTGAGTCTGTGTTTGTCTTGTAGGCATGGACCGAAACATAGATTATAATGAATAATAACGCACAGTGGGTGAATATTAACTCGCAAATCTCGCTAAAGTCCAAAACTCGAGATTCAAGATCTGATTGATCCTATAATCACATTAGAGCATTTGGTAAAAGGTGTACTAAGCAGGTGATTTAAAGATATCTGCTAAATGATGATGACTGCATTATACATAAACCATTGAACCTTCGAAGATTAGTCCATTCAAGGCGGTGCACGGGTTTGAAATAAAGTGAGGGAGGGTTCGGGGTAGTAGCTCTTTTGGATTTAGCCAGCCAACTAATCTTTGGAGAACATCGCTATCATAAAGCAAAACTCCCCAGTTTTTCGACAAACTAAGTTTTCTTTTGAACCATGACAAGAACAAGAATGAGGTGCGGGACGACATCCCTCAAAATTCGAAAAACCGGATAGATCTTTTACAAAAACCAATGATCAAAGAGATGCCTTGGCAATCAACATATGCCAAACTGGTTACGGAGGCCCTGCTCACGAGGAAACCCCTTAAATCATGGCAATTAACCAGAAATATTCTATACAATAAGTTAAAAAAGAAGAAATATTAGTATTTTTGCCTAAAGAAGGTGGGACATTTTGTGGATTCGAGAGAACTGCTTTTTTAATTTGCACCCCTAATGTCTATAAAATAGTTTTTTTAATTGATTCCCTCATTCGGCACTATTTTTCACTTTTTAAAACAGTTCACATTAAAATTATAGTTAGCAGGGCCACTTCCAGAGTGTTTTGCCTTCACAAACGAATGTTGTAGGAGCACATCAAATTTCACATTAAGGCTCCCTTTAGGCATTATTCGGGAGATGAATCATGCCCGTCTTCCAGACATGCACTAGCCCCCGTTTCAGGGTCATTGCACATGCGCATTATCACTTGAAGCCCTGGCGGGAAGTTCAAGTGTTGTGCGGTCCCAGCAGAACAGCTGTATTAATGCGCATGTGCTATGACTCTGCAACACTGATTGGTTTAAGACGGTATTGTTTCGAAACAAAGGACTGAAGGTTTCGCCTCCCGGCTTTCGCAATGTATGATTCATGCGAAGTCAATGCGATACCCATCTGGTCTGAAGGCTGATGAAATAGCTACTTCTACAGTTTTCGCATCTTAAAGACAGATAAAAGGATTTGATCAGAAAGACTTTGCAATAGGATTTTATAACGATTCATTACTAGAATTATTAATACGAGCCACATCTACTCTAAATCTGAGATTAGATCTAAGGATACACAAATCCCAAAAGCACATCAATTCGGTATTACAAAATTTATCAAATCTGTTGGATCAAATTCGAGTTAAACCACACGATAATCATCATTACCAAGTTAATAACAAAGCCTAAATATTCAAAACAAAATCAAATAAAATTCTATTAACAGCTGCTTTGATTTGCATCTAAATAAATATGCGAACGAAACATAATTAATTTACACAAATGGAAAGACTCACTGAGTTGTAAGTGTCAAATAATTACCAATCTACCGGAATTACGTAAATGAATTAAGTTGTATGGTACAGGACGAAAAGCTGATTTTTATTACATTTTATAAAACTGTTGTTGTGGTTTTTGTAATGACACCCCGCTGTCTCAAGCTGTGCTTTGTTTTGGTTGCAAGATGGAAATGACAAAGAAACGCAAATAACAGGCAGATTTCTAAACCATGTTTTGTGGCAACAGGAAACATGAAAGCTACGGGAAATGTGAATAGTACAACAAAAACTATAGTACTAAAGGTACTGGTAATTAAGAGTCTTGCATCCCACTAACATAATATTAAATCATTCCATGAACCCACAGACGAAAAAAGGGCACCAGTGCTAAAATTCCATCTGTTCCCAACCATCATCTAGTAAAACGTTAAAGCTAAAAAAAATGGGGGAAGGGTGATTTGAAAATAAAAATTAGAGGGGTGACTGAAAGTTTAAAGTCTATTGAACAACAATCTGAACTTTGTATACTTACTTCTGCTTGCCCTAAAATTACTCCACCATCTGTGCCAGAGAAAGCAATGTAAATTATACCACCATCAAGACTGGGTAAGTGCAAAGTTGGGCCAGTATAAAAACAAAAGCTAAAAATCACATTCACAAACATAGGTCCTTTATTGCCGGCGTCTGCTGGAGAAAACTTTTATGACGACACACGGGCCAACGAGCAAGAGTTTCCAACATATCCGCTCTACTTATGCTATGCTTAACACAAACATTTCTATACTGTTATCGTAGGAAATTAAGAGGCTTTGATTCAATAAGTACTAAACAGACACGACCTAGTCCCAACCTCATGGTCGTCTATTCCAGGGTTTTGATGATTACACTGTCCAAAATAAATCAGTAGATGAATAGATGTCTGCATGAGTAGATGCCTGCGTCAAAAATCATAGTTTTCCAACTGCTGGTGACGGTGATCTTCTTGTACCAAGTCCAAGTAAAGATTGTTTCTAGAAAAAAGTGGGAAAATTAGTTTTTCACAATTTCAAACTGGTACGATTTTCCCGATATTTTTTGCCATTTACAAACAAACAAACAAACAAACAAACAAACAAACAAACAAACAAACAAACAAACACAGACAGACAGACAGACAGACAGACAGACAGACAGACAGACAGACAGACAGACAGACAGACAGACAGACAGACAGACAGACAGACAGACAGACAGACAGACAGACAGACAGACAGACAGACAGACAGACAGACAGACAGACAGACAGACAGACAGACAGACAGACAGACAGACAGACAGACAGACAGACAGACAGACAGACAGACAATATTCTATTTTGTATATTTAAAAGTGAATAAAATAAAACAATGCTATTACAAGCTACTCTTTAGAAAGGCATATCATTTCTGTTGCAAAATTTACTTTAGACCTTGCAACGAATATTTCAAGGTAAAGCGCCAAAATCTAGATTTATGTATGTGTCAAACACAGGGTACATTGATCGACTAGTTAGCTTGTCGATATCTCTCTGATACAGAATTCACTGATAAAAGCCCTGCCGTCGATTCATTCATGTATTTACATCCGGTCCATAGGAGAAAATCTAGGCCTTACGACGAAGTAAGGAGATAGAAAGACAGCAGGTTTCATCAGCTCTTAATCATACCGGTACAACAGATGGCGCTAAAGATAAAAGTGCTACCTTCTAAGTGAATCGAGAGAAAGAGAAGAGGCTCCAAAAAGGGTCTTGAAATCACACTTCACGCGATAGTTTATCAGTGTACCTTGATATTCTTTTCATTTCAAGGAGGTTTGTTCGTGAAATACCTCGCAACATGGCCTTAAACGCAAGAGGGAAATCAGGAGGGAATCTTTGTCACGACCCATAAACAAACTTTAAAAAGGGGGAAAGAAATTTAAACTAGAGCCAAAAAAATTTGATTTCGGTAAAAACATAGTACTTCATCACAGATTGGTGCCTTATGGTCCTTTTTCTCCCTCTCAGATCACCGTATTACCCAACTCACCAATGGAGTGACAAGGAACTAAAACAGCTAATGTTCTAGAATGGGGTTCATCTTTACAATTTAAGTCTATAAATCAACCGCAAAGACAGAGCGCATATTGGCTTTATTCATAACCAACTATATATTATGTGGTTATTTCAATACTAAACCTAGGTTTGGGCATTTTTCATAAATTTTTTTTGAGATCATACTAAAAGACAATACGGATAAAAAGGGTTGGAATCTGGATAATCTGAATCTGGGCTACAAAGCTCTCCAATCCTTCAAAAACTTTAATAAAAAAAAATCTATTTCTTAGAAATGCTTTAATTTCAACAAAAATAGAGCTTACATGGGTAAAAGGTTCTTTTGCCTAATTTAATCCTTTCCGTTAAAGTTATTGCTGTCTGACTGAGTTATGTACTCTACGCTTAAAATTTCCTTTACAGTCCCATGTTGATATTTGGAACTTTTTTTACTGATTTTTGGAGCATGTATCTTGGATGTGTCACTAAAATGCCACCCCGTGTCTTTTTATTAAGAAATACTGAGTATGAATTCAAAATACAGAGAAATCTTTAATGTGAAAATTCCAATCCCCACTGCACACAAAAGGATTAAAAGGGGACGTTCTATGGGATATTGAGGTGAAAGGTCATATTACTGCAGCCACTAATGATGAGCCAGTGCTATATTTAGCGTGGGATTATGGACCTTGGGCTTTAAATTCACTCTCTATTTGTCCTTTTATCGTCCTCCTGGACCAAAGCGGATCTATTTTGACATTTTTTTGACAAATTCGATTACACCAGAGAATCAAACTTCGTTGCACCAGGGAATAAATCTAGCGCACGAAAAATTATCTGAATACGAAAATGACAGAAGAGGCACTGTTATTGTGGAAGGAAGGTGAAGAGATCGCTGATCTTATTAAGTTTTGAATCCAAATGCCTTTAGGCGCTATCAAATTCGATAACATTAAAACAGCTTTGAAATATTCAAACATATGAGTCCTAACAAATCAACAGTTGATGGTAATGTCAAATAATGACTGACTTTTGAAGAGAACGACTTGGTCAACTTAAATTTAAAAAAGTCGACGGCCAAATTAAAATAAATTCGAGTTAAACTTAAAGGGGCAGTATCAGCAGGATATCCCGCGTGGCAACACGCCAGTTTGCGAAAGTTGTTTAGGTATCCGTGCTCATCGTGCAAACCTTTTGCTTTTTGGATGTTTTATGAAAGGAAACGAATAATAAAGGTTCTTTCTTCAGTCTTGTCACCATATTTCTTTGGATAAAGGATGGCGATACAAAAAAACAAAGGCCACTTTTACGGCTAGGATACCGCAACTCGCATAGAGCTGTTTATAGAAATTGGCCGAAATTACATCAAAAAACCAACCTTACCGATGAAAATAATTAGCGAAAAACATTATTAAAGTTTGCTGGACAAATTTTGAGAAATCATTTTGTTGTAAAGTGTCTAATTCCATCTAAATTCACCAAGACAAACGGAATATCTTCGCCATGATTGAATGAAGCTTCATTTCCCTAGCCTAGACCAAATTAACATACACTTATCGTTTCGATTGTCGGTAAATATGCTGAAATATAGCAATTGTCCATTCCATGTTCGGTAAATACACTCAGAAAATACACTTTATCGAGCTTATTGATACACCGGAGCACCATCCGCCATTATCCCAATGTGCAAGTCAGGCTAAAAACGCACAATGTCCCTTGTATTTGGTTTGTTTACAAAACCGTGACACAATAAGAAATTTGAATTTCTTACGAAAATTTGCGTGAAAATTGGATCTTTTGCTAGGGAATATCTGAATACTTGTTTTAGTTATGTAACAAATTTTGAAGTGTCAAAATTGTGGAAATGTTTTAACTATGTACGGAATATACACAAAACCCAGGGAACAATTCAAAATATTTGCACAAGACCCTAAAAAGATTCGAAAAAGACTCGAAAAACTCCTAAAAAGTCTTTGGTTACCACGAAAATTGTCTGAACACTACAATAATACTTCTCTCTCTGCCGTGGGCCAATGCTGATAAATAAAATTCTTAGGTCGTGAGTGTTGGAAATATTAGCCTTATTGAAAAGTGCTAAAATATTTGTTAGTTCTTACTAAAACAGGGCCTTGGCAAGTCTTTATTACCAGAACCTGTAGCACACATTGTACAGGTTGTTAGGAATAATGAAAATATAAACCTTTCTAGGTGTATAAGAAACTTACTGAAGGTGTCAGCTTAATTCTTCCCCGGGCATCAAAATTCAAACTTCCGTAAATAAGCAATGCGAGATCCCGTCTTTTTGCATCCATTGCTATGCTGAGAGCAGTACTTCCTTCCTGGAATTTCAAAGAAAACAATTTTGTCTTCTATTTCAGAATATAACTAGCTTTATTGATACTTGTTATAAAAACGGATACTAGAAAAAATAGAGAGAAGCCAGGCAAGGATAAAATGAAATGGAAGTTATTCGATCAGCGCTATAAACACGACAAAGGTCATTTGTTTTATGAAGGCTTTATGAAACATTTTATGAAACGTACGGAAGCAGGCCCGACCTAAAGCTGCATAAAATATATTTCTATAAAAAGCGATCCTGAAATCATCCGCATTGTAACTCCTTTCACAACAATTGCCGAGCGATTTCCTGGGAATAGAAGGGCATCCTGGGAAATATCCATAAAGATACAATGATGATAAATCCGATCTAATGATCTTGATAGAAAGAGCAATCCACTAACGTAGAGTGAAAATCATTATTTCATTCCGCTAGACTTGATTAAATTCTACTGTATCATGCAAACTGCCACTGCCCAACAACTTTAAGCCAAAACAAAACAAAAACGGTTTAAAGGTGACAATAAAATAAATTAATAGTGCGTTGTCGAGGAAATGAATAAGAAAAAGATAGAGCTAACAAAAAATGGCACAACGTTATGCTGGTTGCATCTTTCATCAACTTTCAACTTATTTATCACAAAGATGTATCAAATCATATATATTCTAATCAGATAGTTTTCACTTGATAAAAATGGATAAAAACTGTCAGTTTTTAGTCTTTAACAATAATGACGTGAAATCGTCTTATTGGCATAAACTTATAGAAACAAGACAGAAAGCAGACTGCAAAAAGATAGAAGAAAGAAGATATAAATCTGACACTTAAAAACGGTCTAGTCACTTAAGATGCATGAAAATTAAATTCTCTAGAATAACCTTAAAAAGTGATCTGTCAATATTGATAACAGAAATTGATTTTAATGAACAAACAAAGTGGAACAACATACGTGGTCTTCCCTGGCTGGGTCGCAATCTGGACTTGATAGCAAAGTCTTAACAAGAGACATACTGCCATTTTCACAAGCACACATCAATGCCGTCGAACCGTCCTTCAAACAAAAGGAAACTGGCGTTAATGGGAATTACAAAATAAGATGCTTTGACGATGTCTATATGTTATTAGCTAAGTTGCTCCAGTGATACGCTTTCATACATCTACGCTATATATTTGACAAAATAACGGTCCTTCACACTTTGCCAGTAGCGGTATCTTATGACTCGGCTATTTGGTACCTCTTTTTACATTAAGTTCTAAGCGTCCAGTATTTCAAGAAGTTTTTTGATTAAAAAAGACGCATGAAAAATAAAAAAAGTTTTAATGGCTGAAATGGAGAGATTGCGATGAAAAGATCATGCACGAGAAAGATCTAACAGATAAAGACACTCACAACTGCAAAATGTGAAATTAATGAACTGGAACAGCTGATCAGACAGAGAAGGATGAAAGAGAAGTGGAAGCAGAAGAAGAAACAAGAGGAAGATGATGATGAAGAGGAAGAAGAAAGTGACAGAAAAGAAAAAGAGCAACAAGAATACGAAAAGAGGAAGATTTCCTTCCATCAACATTTCACTTAGTTTCTTTCCATTGTACATACACTATTAGGCAGTTTGTTAATGCTTGCGTCTATGGGCGTAGCTATACAGAGGGGACGAGCGGTGATACATTCCACCAAAAGGTTTCCAATAAAAGCAAAAAGTTTTCAACAGAAGCAAGAAGTTGCGTAACACTGAACTAAAAATTTCGAGAAACATCTTGCAGAAAAAAATCATAATCAGATTTAGATACTTCAAGGTAGGTTTTTCTACATTTCTGAAATAATTATGTCAGTTTGAAATAATTATGTAATTATGTCAAAAATTTTGTCAGTTCTGAAATAATTATGAAAAATGTGCTTCTTCTTTTATTTCTAAACATCTTTATCACAAATTTGTATGTATAGGGAGAATGGGACTTTGACAAGTTTGAACATTGATAAAAGAATTTTACGAGTCTAGATTCATAAACTATTTGAGTAAGTATTTTGAATCACAGTATTTTGAAAAACCCAAAAATTTACACCGTGATGTCTTTAGCAAACGAACCTATTACATCAGTGTTTACATTCATAGAACATTTTGCGGTACGTAATTAGAACACGAAACCTTTTATTAAAGATGTCAAAGTTAGATATGCATATAGCATAATATAGTTGTTAAGAGGTGTTAAGTGTTCGTACTTTGAACATAAGGCATTGACCATTAAAAAGTATTCTTAAGACAAAAACGCTTGTCTGTTGTAGGTGTTTACTGTTGAGAAATTTCCGATGAAAGAAGATGCACACTGTAGGGAGATGTCCACTATTAGGAGGTGTCCATTTTAAGGAGATGCCCACTTTCAACAAAAAGGAAGGTTTCCACTATAAAGGTGTCTGCTTTAGGCAGATTCCGCTTTTAGGACGTGTCCATTTAAAGGAGATGCCCACTTTCAACAAAAAGGAAGGTTTCCACTATAAAGAGGTGTCTGCTTTAGGCAGATTCCGCTTTTAGGACGTGTCCATTTAAAGGAGATGCCCACTTTCAACAAAAAGGAAGGTTTCCACTATAAAGAGGTGTCTGCTTTAGGCAGATTCCGCTTTTAGGACGTGTCCATTTAAAGGAGATGCCCACTTTCAACAAAAAGGAAGGTTTCCACTATAAAGAGGTGTCCGCTGTAGAGAGATATCCGCTTTTAGGAGGTGTCTTTTTTAAGGAGATGCCCGCTTTCGACAAAAAGGAAGGTTTCCACTACAAGGAAGTGTTCACTATAAGGAGTTGTCCACTATAAGGAGTTGTCCACTATAAGGAGGTTCCCACTTTATAAAGGTGTCTGTTTATGGAAGTTTCATTGCCATAACTCAAAAATCAATAAAAACTTATTCTAGAACATTAATGCTTCAAACACTCTATCCAAAAAGTTTGTTGTCTTACAAAAATGAGTGCATGGTAAAAAACACTTACATTATCGGCTTCGTTGATTTCCGCCCCTGCATCCAACAGTAAATCCACCATTCCAGCGTGGCCACGGCTGACTGCAAACATGAGTGGAGTTTGCCCGGTCTAGAGATCAAACGAAAGTGAGAAAACATTAAAAACCAGAAAATAATGGCTGACTAAATCAATTTAACTCACAGACACATTTCTTCGAGGTCAAATTCATCCCACCGCCAATTTATCTAGTCTCATCAATCCCCAAAGTTTTGTCTGAGCGCATTACAAACTGTTTAACCCCTATGGTCCCTAAATTTCAAAACATTTGCTTCTCATTTCAAACTACCTTCTCTATATATACCCTAATTAATTCCCCTTTATCTAAGATAGTGCATTACCAATTAACTCAACCCTTATATCTTCAAAACGCCACACCACCTGCCCCCTCAACCTCCTTGTCTAGCCTCGCCAACCCTCCAATAAAAATCCTTCAAGACCTCCTTCTCTAATACGAGAACTCACGCCTGAAGTTGTTAGTGAATTCAACGGTTGGCTATGTGTGATCTCGATACAGTAAATAAAGTCAAAATATTTTCAGTATATTTAGGCTGTTTGAAACACTTTAAAATTGACACTGACCTCTCTGTTCTTTGCATTGATGTCTCCTGCACGCAACAATCGCTGCATTACATATTTGTCTGTTTTGCTGTCAAATCCAGCTAAAGCAGCCAACATTATTGGTGAATAACCAGCCTAGATGAGACGAAAAAATTAACTTACTAGCAATCTTATGTGAAGTCTACAAATCTTTGAGAAAATTTTTGTCAAGTCTTCACATGGAGCAGTCCGTCTTACAATTTGAAGGTAAAACTAGGGGTGATCCCAACCAGAGAAACAAATTGTGGTAAGCCAAATAAGTTTAACAAAAACTCAACGTGTGTCAGAAACTCAACTTTAAAAAAAAAGGAAAAAAGTAAGACTCCTTGAAATTCTATTATGTCATTCAAAAAATGACAGCTTTACATCAAGCCCTTGAAGAAAGACATAATGTCACATAATTGATACAATTGATGCCAAAATGGCCTATAGTAAAAATAGCACTATCCACACCGTAGCAGAAGAATATATTTGAAGCATTGACAAACTAATACGTAGCGTTAAAGATATGATGTTAACACAGCTTGGTTAAGTTGCTATTTTGATAAAGTTTTCCTAGCTCGGTATTCATCGTTAATAAGGCCGAGTCTAGCACCCGTTAAAAGAGTTTAGGATAAAACAAGACAAGGTATCTAAATAAATTTTTCAAAAAAGGAACTTTTCATTGTGCAATTGACAATTGTCACATCTTTTTGAGCGTTTCTTAAGAATGAATGTATATTTGAAACCCAGTTTTATGTGCAAAACATACCTTGTTGATGATGTCGACATTGCATTCTTGAGAGTCAAGCAAGATGCTCACAACTCCAGTGTTTTTGTACGTCAATGCAAAATGCAATGCCGTGTTACCCTGTAAAAGAAAGCATTCTCCAATTAATCCCTGGCGCTTTAAAGAGGTAGAACAAAAACATACCAAAGGATAGCCTGACCAATAATAGAGAACAAAATCCCCTTTAGATGGATTTCTCTTCGTAATGTATTGCAGAAACAATTTCGCTTTCATTCTATTTTGTTCTCAAATATCTACAAACAGCTAAAATTCACCCTGTCCAATTCATAATTGATTGCAAACACAAAACTGTAATTGCTGTTAATGTAAACAATTTGAACTAGTGGGATAATTATGGGGTATGGTTGTTACTGGGGAGTGTCGAAACCAGATTCCGCTTTTTGTGAAAAAGCCAAGTACAAAAACTGAGATTAAAATCAAAATTACAAACGACAGGCGCAGATCCAGCCTGAATTCTGACCTATGCAAAGGCTGTCAGAAAGAGAAGCCACGACCTTTGGAGAAGACATTTTATTTTGTTGTTGTAAAAATCTGACTTATGTTTCTGCAGAGGTTGCTGTAGTCTGGATTGGCGTTTGAAAAAGATACTTACATCTTGGTCTGCGAGATTGATAATCGTATCGAGCAGTTGAGGAATGCGACTTTGAACCAGATCAATATAGCTTTTAACAACAGCTGCATTCGCTCTCTTCTTTTTCACCGTTTGAAACCAAAGATTCTCAACATTTGCTAGGTATTTCAGCTGAAAAAGAGGCGTAACACGTCATCAATGGGTAGCAACGTAATTCTGCCACACAAACAAGCTCTCTACTTTTAAGTCTCTAAAACAATGCTCTTTCCAATCCCGGACATTATAATGATTTGGAAATTTGGGTATTATGCAACTAAGCTTGAAACCATAATCGTTTATAAGTTTCTTAACTAGGACAAAATGCAAACATTCCAAGAGATGAGAAACATAAATCTTTATCCTTGCATTCTCATTAGCTAAAAGGAGGAAAATTATTTTGTCAAGTTTGCTGCCAGAGCTTGCAAGCTTGAAATTGGAAACAAATGAGAAAATTTTAAACAATTTTTCCAGTCTGTTTTGAGAACGCTCTACTAGTTCCATCCAAATTATGTTCATCTTTTATAACTGCTTCATCGTTAAGCAAGCACAGAAAAATTAAAAGGAGGAAAAAGAGAGGAAGTGTTCGAAAATATTTTCGGTTAAAATCAATATGAATACACTTGCCGGCTGAACAAGTTTAAATATCTATATATACATAATATAATATATATATACACAAAGTTATATATAAACAAAGTTATATATATATATATACATAAAATCATATGATTTTATAAGTACACTACAGTTAAAATAATTTTATAAGTACACGTGAAACTCAGAGTTCCACTTTAGAATCTGTCCTGTTCTATAAACTGCGTTGTCAGCCCTACCTTAACGGCATCGAGCACTTTACGACAGACAGGAAAACATGAATTTCTATTTCATAAAGAAATCATATTAAAAACACAGAAAAAAATAAATTGTTACTCAATTATTGTATTCAAAGAGTTTAATTGGAAAAACCAACCAAAAGAGGATTTATTAAGAGAATAAAACTTCCACAAGAATTATATTTCAGAACAAAAAATGCATTCAGTGTAACATACCCAAGCCATAGCTGCTAAGGTAAATTTCCTGTCAACAGTCTGGCATAACGTGAATCGATTTTCACAGATAAACATACTATGCACAAAGGGGAATTACAATTGCCATCCAGCAGTTAAATTTAATCAAATAATGCGGTAACATCAAATTATAGCTAGCATACCATTAACTGTTGCTTGAGGGGCTTTTCACCAGAAAGATGTTGCTGCAGCATTTTACAAGAATCAACAATATCGTTTTTGATGCTGCAAAAGAAGTCAAGAGTTGTGTCAAAATAAAACAAAAAATTTCATCTATATACTGAAAATTAAATCAAAGAAATGCTCTACATTAACTTTCACATAAACTGGTAAAAGGTAAGTTCCGTATGCAAATAGATACGATTTTAGTCGTACGAACATAATGTCAGTTTTCCGCTGTCGGGTCCAACCTTTCAAGATCTAGTAGACATTGTAATAAGGACCTGAGAACAACTTAATACCATAACAAATTGAGTTATTTATTACATTCTGAGACTCTCTTATACTGAAAATCAAACAAAACTTTTGATATTATAGAATTGAAGAATACATATACAGCCATTCATTAAAGCAGTTGTCTCAAGGGCTCCTTTTAAGCCAAAAGTTTTCCTATCCTAACAGTTTCTTATTCATTCTATAGAACTTAGAATCAGAGACCAGATAACATGGCGGTCATACGGTCAACCAACAAAGAGAACCCAATGAAAGAAAAAGAGACTTTTTACACCCAAACCCCGCCTTATTTTCTCAAAGGAGAGTTTTCCAGGGCTTGTGGGTATTTTCCAGAGGAAGGATAAACACCTTTCAAACAGCATTCTAGAATTCATTTGGATCATATAAGACGATTAAAAACCTCCTATAAAAGCATCAAACCTTTGCTCCTCTTCTTCTTCCGACACTTCCGATCCCGATAAATCGTCCCCGTTGACATTGTCTTCAGTTCCCTCGATATTTACGTAATCTGAAAGATTATCCACACCCGATGCAGCTTGGAGGCCATTTCTTTTATATGATGCAAAATTATTCCGCATTTCCACCAAAGCAGTGTCTAAATTGCTATCATTCAAATCGACTTTGTTGCCACAGTAATTACAAATCACCGGCTTTTGCTCCATCTGCCAAGACATGGTACTGTTGGCCATGATTTTCGATACTTCCTCACAAAAATCACCTTGAGAAGAATCCGACAAGAGCCTTTGCCTCTGGTTGTTGTTATCAGAAACTCCATTTTCATTTAGCGGTGAGTTACTGCCATTTTGGCTGTTGTAAACCAGCGTCTGCGGATTCGATTGGTCGTCGCCCTCCAACAAACTCAGGTTAACGAAACCTGACACATTGTTCAGATTTAGGCATTTATCGCAAGTGACATCGATAATAGAATCCTCCCCGACACCTATTTCCTTGCGTTCACCTTTCCTGTCACATTCCTCACACAGTACAACATTCACGTCATCGTCGCCGCATCCACGCGATTCTAATCGCCGATTACTGCAAGCGTCACACAACAAGTCGTCGATCCTGCCATCTCCACAACCGACTGATTCGGATGTCCGATTGAGACAAATATCGCATACGACATTATCCACTGGGCAGTCACCTACACCAGTTTCACACAAGTCCACTTCCGCACAATCACATAAATTATCATCTATTCTGCATAAATTATCATTACCGATTCCGCTCGGTTTGAATCCTAAATTTAATTGGTTATAGCATCCGACCCCTACAGAGGCACATTGTCTATTTAAACAGGTATCGCAAACGACATCTTCGACTTTGCCCTCTCCAACTCCAATGGTATGTGACGTCTTTTTATCTAAATTGCATTGCACTCCTGTCTCATCCACTTCCCATTCTACAGGGCTCGTTGCAAAAGTTCTGTGTTCAGTTGAAGCTTGACAGGAGACTCCTGAGGTATCTAGCCAAGCAACACCATCGCCGCACGAGAAATCATGTGTCGAAACCGAGGCCTGTAAGCTAACCGAGGTTTGATCTGCGAAACCACATCCACACATCATATCATTATCAACCATACTGGCAATACAACTAACGGATTTGTCGCAAACAGGCATACCACTTTGGGTTTCATTGTCAGCATACAGCTTCTCTGCAATATCATCACCGAAAGATGCGTCTTGCAAAGCTGGTGAACATTGAAGTGCCACAGATGCAAACTCGCAACTAGGACATCCAACTAAAATGGACTTACTCTCGTAAATTAATTCATCGTATTGAGAGGAAACATCAGTTAAATCAACCGAGTCTTGTGTTGAGACATCACTAAACGATAATTCTGCCAAACCACTCCCAATGGCGAAATCCGCTACACGTCTCTTGATGGTTTCAGTGCTTGCGTCAGTACCACTACCGAAAACATTTGCGTCTCCGATCGCCGTTTCGACAAGTTTCGCGTTTACGGTGTTAGTTTCGACATCGTGAGTTAATAATTTCTCTTGAAATTCGACATTCGAATTTACACCGTTTTTCATATCCTGTTCGGAATTCTCGTTTTTGCCTCCACTGAAAATACCTTTGGCCTTTAATGATGTTTCTTCATCTTGCGTCATTATTTTCACATTTCCGCATAGGGGACAAGACAAAGCATTGTCACAATCATCATCAAGACAGGTCTGTGTCATTTTGTTCGCTTTTACGCGATGTGGACTGGGCCGAATGATAAATGCATCGTCATTTTCGGACTGAAAGCTCACAGGAGAAGAAAGCGGTGACGATGTTTTGCTTGAGTGATTGCTAGACATGCTCTGTCTGGTGCTGCGTCTTTGTTTCAATGTATTCAAAAGCTGCCTTTTCTCCTCCTGCAGAACAGCAAGTTTCACCTGCAGTACAGCTAGCAGTTTGTGGTCATCTTCAAGTTTCTGTAGCCTTGAGAGTTTAGGAGATATCGAGGCGCGAACCTTTTCTAGTATATGGAATATTTCCTCTGTCATGGGGTGGCTGAAAAATGGCTGCAGTAACACAGATGTTGGTGAATTAGATCGAAATGCTTCGTAAGTTCGCAAGTGGCCTTGTTTTATATCTGTTTCCCGTTCTTGCTTAAAAAGTGTTTTCTTGGAATGTTCAGAAGTGGGCGACAGGTCATTGTTTTCGTCCGAGAGATATTTGGACGCGATATGTTCTTCTGCAAGATTCAAATAACTCGTACTGCTATCGGCGCTGTCCGGCCGCTCGGACACGCGATTTGTAGTCTTCCCGTTATCCTCGCTTTCCCTTACACGTGACGTCACGATATCATCAGAAGTCAAGACAGGACCGTTTGATTTCAAAACAAGAATTTCGTCTTCCTTTGCAGCGAGGTCACTGAAACTTGCAGAGCTGAGGTGTATCTTCGGCTTCGCAGGACGTCTTCGAAAGGAAGACGACGTTGTAGATTCGACATCTGAAGAATAGTCGGACTGACTCGCTGTGGAAGTCGGGCTGTGTGACCGATTTTGATTCAACATTGCTGGGAACAACGGCTGATTGTGTTCCCAGGCCTGGCTAAGTGGATGACCTGCAAACATTTGCTCGAGGTCTATGTCCTAAAGAAAAGAGAAACAAACTCAATTAATTTTAATATCCAATACCTTAAACAATACGTTTTTCTTCCTTAAAAAAATTGAAAATAACAATGACTTAAGGGATTAAATTCTATTTTTTACAAACAATCCGTTGTCCTTTACATCTGAATTCTGAAAAAAGGAAAGGCACAAGATCGGAACTTTGTATGACCTCGAGATCGATACAAATATAAATTTTCACTGGCTCAAAAAAAATATTAAAATGATACGGAAATATATATAAAGAGAGAATGTTAACAATAATATTCTTATGGTTGAATAGCAAAATCCCATTGGATTCTTCCCCACACTTTCAAAGATTCAAACATGCCCTTTTCACTGCTTGCCCCAGTCATAGATCTAGTTTCAATGATATTGCTCCTATTGGCCAAATAGATAAGTTTAGAGAAATCCGGTTTGCCGCATGACAATTTGGAATATTTTCCACAATTTCATGCTACATAATGTTTGGCGCCGGATTTGTTGATGTCAATTTAAATTTTTTGAGTGAATTTGGTAAAAAATTCTAAATGGAGTGAAAATTGGTCAGAATTCAGCTGCAGGTCATTTTGGAACCAAAAGAGATAAAAACATTCTTAAAATTTGAAATATTCTGTTGCATGGCAACGACACAGAATGGAAAGTGGACCTCTCTTAAACAGGGAATAACCATGTCGTGATTTGCAATGCTACACGGATATTAACTTTTATAATTTTTGCTTCCATTTCTCACAATGTTACATTTAGTAAAGATATAAGGTGTAATAAGAATGGTGCATGTGTAACATGATATATTCATTTTGAGTTAGTTGTTTGAAATAGATTAAGACAGTCGGAAGGCTTTGCTTTTATCTGTCTTACCAACTTGACTGGGAATTTTGCAGTGAAACAGACTTGGTCAGCAATACAAAAAGACGCAGAAATGGGATAAAACAATGCTAATTCTCAAAAGCCTTTCTTTGTACATTTCGAAAGAAACCAAATCAATAATTTCCCACGCTGTTGATTTGCTAACTGGCACGACGCACGAAAGGCATGCTGGGAAGCCCTCACAATAAGGCGGCAAAACTGTTGGTATGTCCGTGGATAGCAGTGAAATATTGTTCACAGTTTTTCAAAGAACATTCAACCTGTGTTCGAATTTCTCATTGATGTGTTCATACATCTTGTTAGTCACTTATAATCTACTTTCCCACCAAAACTTGCATTTTTCGAGAACAATTCAAAGAATTATCGAAAACTCACGAAACTCACAAAACTATATGACTTATATGATTTATTTCAAATAATATGCACTTTGCCTTAAAGATAAGATTGATGAGCCTCATCCTTGGGTCTTTGCAAGCTTTTTTCTTTCTTCAACAATCACAACAATCTTTTTTCAACGACAATTCTTAATGCGAGAATGATATTTTGCTTGCCTGACAATTACTCAAGGATCTCCCTGTGGTCATAATAAGATAATATAAATAGGGGGATTCTTAATAATATTCGGCTACGACAAGTTAAAAAGTGTTTGAGCCGAAAATTCTTTCAACTTTCAGGCCTACAGTTTTACTATTTCTGTTTAGATATAAATATCATCTACTGCCTTTTAAGTGTTAGGATTCCTTTTTTATGCAGGCATCAAAATACTTTCTTATCCTTGTAAAATTCTAATTCGTTTGAGTCCCTAACAATACATTTCTAGATTAGATGTCGCCACCCAACTTACATTTGTACACATATTCCGGGTAGAGATTGATCGAGGATATTGTGTTTCAAAATGTCAAAGATCTGCCAAATATTCAAAAAATGTCTAGACGGCCTAACAACCATAGCTTTGTAGCGTAGTGATCGCACTGACAAGAGATTGTTGAAAAATCAGTTTTACTTACTAAAAGCAGACATAATTTGATTTGCAAATATGCTACAGAAAAGATCCCAAAGAGAAACACGAACACTAACGATATCAACATTTCTTTCCCCTTGATATGAAACCTAGACTTTCGATGCATTGACTGCAGGAGCACAGTGGACGTTAAAGCTTGGGGACTAGAACTGGAGATTTCCTACAATTCTAGCAAGGTAACAAATTTTCCGGATATTTCCTTCAAATCAGCTCTTTTAAGCCATTACTTAGGCCCTACTAATCGAATACTAAGGTCTTTCAATACTATGCAAACGTTCTGTTCACTTGACAAGCTCCGCAAAAATAAATTCTGAGTCAACTTATACTTTGAATTAAAAAACACGACTCTTTCGTTGTGGTATGGGATCGTACCAGATTAACCTTAAGCTCGTAGGCATAGAATAACAACAAAATTGCTTAGGATAAAGGTACAGGAAAAATAAACAAAATATGAGGTCAAACTAGTCACATGGGATAGCACTTGCTCTTCAAAGGTTACTCAAACAAATCTCTCAAGTAAGAAAAAACAGAAGAATTTATTCAAGCCTTTCGCTGAATCGTGTTAGACATGAAATGCTTTTGGAAAATTCTTTTGGAAAATTCTTCGTTCCCTTGGTTCTGTAGATTATTTTTCAAAACATAAACATTAAAAACGTTTTAAGTTCATCAAAGAATATAAACATCCTTCTTTAACCATAAACTCCCGGTAGGCTATTGGTTTGCGTGTCTATAATTTGAATTTAAAATTGTCCCTCAATAATTGGAAAGCAACCTTATCAAAACAATTTGGCCAATACTAAAAAATAAAATTCCAGAAACCTGTTGCGTATAATAACGATAGCAAAAAACTGATTAATTCAATAATGAAGTCTCTCCAACCATTCAATTCAGCATTCCAATTCGCTCCAAAAACATATTTGTTTCTACAGCTTTTTGGCAACTTTTATAACTCGCACTTTTCTCTGTAAGCAATTTGTTCTGTTAGAGCTTTGCTATTTCAATAGGAGTTTATATCTAGCTTCAAACCAAAAAGACTATCCTGAATAAGTGCAAGTACACCCCTGTTGGCCTAGCAGCCCTCGACATATCCATTAGTGCATCCTATCGACTTTGTAGCACAAATAAAACTGGCTTGTTAGTTCAAGGTTTCTTACATGCATAGCTTTAAATGCCCTATTTATTAATGCCTCGTGCAAATCTGGTATTGCGTATAGCTGACAGGAAGGCTCCAACGGTAGCATGTTTTTCTTAGAACAAAACTGTAAGCTATACCTTTGCTTTGCTAAGATAAGAAAACAGGTACACTTATGTATGGATGGCTCAGTGGTGAGGATCTCGGACTACAGTTCCACGGTTCTGGGGTTCGGGTCCCTGTCGACTTTTACCCAGAGTCAGGGGAGTCGCAAGCTCTTTGCAATTCAAGGCGTAGGAATTAAGTACAGACAAATAAAAAAACTCAAACATTATCTTGTAACGAAACGGGGTTAGATAAGGCCCTTGTCTTTCTCCTCTTTCACTTTCTCCTCCGCACAGGTTTGTTTATAGGCTTAGGAAACGCGTGCGATTAATTTTTTCCCCGGAATCGATCAATAATATAGAATTGGAAACTATTCATCAAAATGAAAGAGAAACAAAGCCCACAAGAGGTACGATGGCAAAACACCCCTCATTGGATGAATTTGAAAGAAAGACGACACGGAACAGTAAGACGACACGGAGCGGTAAGAAGCCTCCGATAAAAAGATAAGGTGAAAAAGAAGAAATTCGTGGAATGTTACAAGAGACTTTAAAATGTCAAACAGGGGAAATTACACTTAACTTTTAATATACTTTAGCAAGTTCAATAAATCTAGAGATATAGAAAAGCGACTGCCCAATTTTTCTTGAAGATAGAATTTTCGCATGTTCATGTATCTTTCGATCACACTTCGGGCCTGCGATAAAGGCAAGAGCCTTGATTTTGTTGATACAAAAAGTTACCCTTACGCGCAAATATTCTTAGTCGAAGTCGAAAACTTTAAAACTACCTCGTTTCCTTCTTGATTGTTCATATTAAGATAATCACAGCTGACGTAAAACAACTTTGATTTTCTGTTTTGCTTCTTTCTCGTTTCATTTTCCCGTTTACGATCTCTCCCACCAACACGTATGATAATAATCTCATCCAACTCTTTCTCCCCACTAGTGCAGAACGGCCTTCCCGAATCAGGAACGACACAATTAAATAATACATTATTTCTCCTTATTTCTCTCTCAGCACCGTTTCTGGTCGCCATTTTACACTGAGGCGATTTTACACAACGCACTTCACTATCACCTGGCGTTGGGTGTGATTTCCGGTAATCAGAGTCAAAACGAGAGCCAACCATAGTAGTCACTAAACCTCGTATTAGTAGCCACGCAACATATTTGCCATGACAACAATGAGCTGACCATGGAGAACAAAAGAAAACGAAGTCTCTAGACATCACTCCAATCCCTCAGGCTCTAACTCATAGATATATTACAAGATTTTATTATATCTTGGTGTACACTAACCAAAGAATTGTTTTAATGACGCTAGCCTAGAGGGTCAACAAGTGGGTTTATGCATGACTTATTGACATGAAATCATGCTTATTCAGCTTTAAACAATGGAATCAAAATTCAAAATCAAAACTTCTAATATTTAAAACAAAGATTTGGGAACAATTTCAACATTCCAGTTACCAAAAACGTTGCGTAGAAGGAAAATTCCTTAAGTGCTACTTAGAACGAAAGCCATTACATTTCTTCATAAAAAAACTAGACACCGAAACATTTTTCTAATTTTATGTTATACATAGATAAAACTACATTGTATTAGCATAAGTCATATCGGATAGTTCAGGATGTCATTGGTCCTCATCTATCGCTGAGACCAGATATATGCAGGGTTTTTAAGGAGGGGAAGTAGGTATCCAGGATATCATTGCACCTCTTACCAGACGCTCAATTTATCGCTCCATCAGAGAAGTAGGTAGAGATCTCGAGGTGGGGAAGGAGAATTGTTGAAGAAGGATGGAATAAAAAAACCAATTACTCCGAAGCTGCTCAATTCTTTCATCAGTTTTCACGCAATTTAGAACCTAATTATGGCGAAAAACTCTACCATATACCAGGCACAAAAAGGGGGCAGCCCCAATAAAAAAAGGCTCGTTTGCACGAAAAAGGTTTCCTAGACTTACTAGACTAAAGACAAACGTCCCTGACTCCGCCCTTGCCCCTCCTACCTTCATACCATCAGGACTGAAAAATCAAATGCACTTACGGCGTCTCTCACACCGAATGGTTCTTTTAAGCAAGATTGGTTAATGACTTTGCATCTAGAAGCCAAAACGAAATTTTATTTTTGGGGGGCATTTGATCGTGTGGCATAGTATTTATGGGAATTGACTGTGCTGGCATGATCTTATCATTCATAGTGAATTGTGTAACGTATAAATAACAGTGTCTTCGGAGGCGAAATTTACTCTTAAGATGCAATTGCTTGCAATCAAAGGGGCCACTGCAAGGCATAAGAAATAACTCAGCCAGGTGGATTAAAATTTAATAACATTACGTTTTATTTTGAGCGTACAGCTTGAGAGATTTTATCTAAAGCAGAGCAGAATCAATTTCAATCCAGATAATAACTATGGATAGGAAGCATAAAACTGATCCTATTGAAAACCATGTGACTTGCTTCAAGTGCATTATGAAATAACAGGTTTGAAAACTGAAACGCCAAGGTTATTTTGAAACGAGAGCACGTTACAATTCAATGCGAAGCTCACCTATCAATTGGTACATTTTCATGGCGATATCCAGTATTTCAAAGCAGCATGTTACAGCATAATGAAAAAACACGTCTTCACAAAACCAGCAACAACTGAAAACAGCGTCTGAACTTGGTTTGTGACGCACTACACTGCAACAAAACCTTTTAACAATTGAGGTTTGGGATTAACTTTGCAGTTTCTTTGAATCGAGAAAATAAGACCAAGCGAGAGGAAAAATAATGCGGTTAATGTGGATTAGTAAAATATAACTTAGTGGAGAATTAGGTATCAATTTTACTGTGTGCGGAGGAGCCACTTATCAAATATTTTGGCCTAACCGGATATCCAAGGCCAATTGCTTTGCGCAAAAGTATATTTTTATCCAGCCAATCAAAGTTACTGCGTCATCGTGCTGTAAGGGGCTCGTCACCTTTAGACAAGCCACAAGTAAATCACAAGTTGATTGCCAACATCTAGAGAAGTAATCAAGATAGAGTGTGCTGTGGCTGGACGGCACGACAACACTACCATAGAAAACGAGAACCGCAAATGGTGCAAAGAAAATACAGTCGAGGGTTACTTCGACAAGCAGCAATGCAAAACAACAGCATCAGGTCCTGATTTCATAGGGAAGGGTGACCCTACTATCTGAGATATTTTTGCCGAGATAAATAGGGAATTATAACGATTTGAGATTGCGGTTACTTGTGGAAGAGCGACTCCTTGTTGTCGAGATCCCTGTGTGCAGGAGGGCGAGAGGCAGATCACTCCAAGAAAATCTCGTACGCTGTAGGCAAAAAGCCCTTTGTTTTCGAGAAAAATCCACCAAAAATCCCTAAAAATTCTATTGCACTAAAAATTCTCGTAAGCTGTTTGGGAAGAGTGATACATCCCTCGCAAAAGGGCTGGCAATTTTCAATTTCATAACTCTATATAAATAATGCTATAAAGAGCGAGTAGTAGACATTCTTGAATATAAAGGAAAAAAAGAAATGGAAGGAAGAAAATAAGAAATAACTGAATCTTGAAAAGACCAGAACTCTGACGTTTCGTGGTATGATTTCGATGAGACAGACATAGCTGGTTGGCATCCTTAAATACTTGTGCGCCATCTAGTTGTTTGAAAGAACTAATAAAAATTAAAAAATTAAAATGCAAAAAATAAGACTTGCGAAAATCTCGCAAATTTTTGTGCATATACCAGGAAACCATATGAAGTATAGTTGCCGTCTTTCATTAAGGGTTCGAGATATTCATCAACAGGCAACATGGCAGATTGAAAAAAATTCCACCAGATAAAAATGAATTTAACAGACCTGTATTATTTGTAAATGGCATCAAAACGCCAAATTCTGTCACAACAAGGCAACGTCTGGTGCCACAATAAGACCGGGTTGAAGAACATCTCTCGATGATTTATGTCACTTTCTACTATGAAAACAACAGGACTAACCCAACAGTGTAATATGCGGTTTTGTTGGCTGCCAAACCACTTTCTCCTAATGGCACATGCAGAAGAACCTATTTGTTCCAGCTTCTTAAGCTCATGCGACATTCCAACCAAATGACAATTGAGTGGGTCATTTGTTTCCGTTCAAACAAAGGACAAGCAAATTGTCTCTTTTGAAAGTTCAGCGTTCTTTTCGACTTATATGTAAGTAGAAGATATCGTGACGCAACTTGTGGCTGTGACACTAATTACGAGGGCCTGATGAATTCAGAATAATAATCAGAACAGTCATGTACCTTACTATATTCAAATCCACACGAGAGACAGTGTATGAATTGAACAAACGTATTTACCTATTAATACACTCATTTTTTAAAAGAACCGTCTATAACAAACCGATGGCTAAGATGATAAACCATAAAACCAAGATTAAAGCCAAAAAAAGTTATAAAACCATAGTACTGATCATTCGCTTCTTTAAAAATCTGTTCGAAACACCTTCCTTTAAAGATGGGATGGAAATGATATTTATAACGATTAGGAACCTATTTGCTGTTTAATTGAAACAGATATAGAGAAAAAATAGCTACTTGTGATTGATTAGATGTTCCAATTCAAGCTATCTCATGAAAAAGTAGCTCATCTGGTATTAAAGAAATTTTTAAATCATTTTTAGCACTGAAACCAACAAAAAATACGAAACTGAATACTAAGCCCGAGCAAATTCTCTTTAAAAAATAAACATTGGAACAATACATAGATGGTTTGCTTCGTTGCTACAAATGCCCAGTCATAACTTCACTTTCAATTTGGGCACACCCTTTATCATGTTCTGAGTAGCATGGGCATGGATAGCTCAACGAAAAAAAACCCCCATCAAAAGTTTATTTCAATGACAAAAATATCAAAGTTTAACGTGGGAGGGGGGCAACATCTGATTGGGGGAGGGAGTGGCAAATCTCAAGACCATCTGGCCGGGATTGTATCGTTGTAGTTGTTGTTGCTGCTGTTTTTGTTGTTTTTGTTGTTGTTACTGTTAAGGGCACTTTGCATTGAATCAATGGCATTGAATTCGCAAGTCTCATTTTTCAAATTTCTAGTATGAACTAGTGACAACAAATTTTAACTTCATACAATAACCTTGCCAGAGCTTAAAAATGAGACTATGGTTATTCAACATTAACAAACTTATAAACAATTTGACCTTTAAAATCTCCGCAGAAGCAGAAGAATTAAATAAATCTTCCTGGTTATACGGAATTTGCACAACAATAGTTCCGAAAAGAGTGGTTGTAGCAGCAAAAAAATCAAAAACAAACAAACTGATCTTTGGTTTGGAAGCGTACGTTGCCATGTATTTGGAGCAACCAGGCTTGGAAATACTGATTTTTATGAACTCATGTTTTGGAATTCTTACTTTGATTTCTAGCGCCATACTGTGCCACTACAAATATCTTTATCCTAAAAGGGAACGAAGCAAATTTTGGTTGTTCGAAGAGCTTTTGTCTATAATTCTCCTGTTTTACACGATGTTCTCAACAGGGAAGGAGCATGGGCTGCCAAAGAAAAGCTTTCAATTGGCCTATCCGCACTGTCTATTCTGAGGCCTTTCGCCTTTTGGAAAGCTCATAATTACTTACACACAAAAGGAAGCTCAAGCAACTATGCAACAGCGTTCAAAGCCAGTTTCGTTTTGTTTTCATGAGATGAATCTTAGCGTAAAGCTAAAATCCAAGTACTCAAAAGACGGCTTGAAGATTTAAATAAATTTCACAATGTTAACAGGGTTAGACAAACTCTCTTGCTTGCGATGAAATGATTTTCATAAAGAAATTTCCTGCTAATCCAAAATGAAAAAATCGAAAACAGATCATGGCGGATTTCAGATATCTAAAGCCGGCTTGCTATACATACTTTTAATGATTATAAATACTTAAATCTTTTTTGTGTCTAAATTTTCTTTAAATTTTCCATTTCGATCCTAAATTTTCTTGAATTAGTCTATTCTTAAACAAGAACACGGGTAAATTTTAATGATGGAAAGGAAATTAGGAAGAAAGTCCAAGGCTCCCAATGTAAATTGTTGAAGACAAATTCAAAACAAAATATCACCTTTCACTGTTGAATAACTGCAATTTGAAACGTTACAGAAGTTTGAAATTCGTGTCAAAAACCCAAATTAATATTTTCCTTAAAGTATATCCTTAAATAAGCTTTGCAGTTACTTGTTGCCTCGATATCTTTCTGAACTATGTCGAAGGAAACCACGCCTTGCCAAATCTTTTTTAGGATTATACAGAATGGAGAAAATATCATCATTTCATTATTTTAATAGACTGTTGAGAATCCCCACAAACTTAAATGGCTAAAGGAGGCAACGGCGGCAGAAACGAGGTTAATCGTGTACTTTCAACATTTTTGTCGATATTTTGAAATTCTTCTCCTCAAGAGTGAGCTAAATGTCGAACTAAGGGAACTAACTGTTCGACATTTTCTTACATCAAATGACGTTCATACTTTTCTTACATCAGAAGATTTTATTGCTAAGTAATCACTCTAAAACTGCTGAGAAACAGGTCATTTGTTACGGTGTCGTCGGAAAAGTTGTTGGAGTGGCACAGGTAGAAAGGGGCACTGTATCTCAAAATAAGGGGGCATTTTTCGACAACTTCTGAACAAGCCACTACTAAGAAGGGGGGTTATGTTCCTGCTCTTTTTATTAACCTGCAATTACCCTTGATTAATAAAGTACTTATTCTTCGTACGTGAAAACAAAATCATTTATAAATTAGCTGCATTTGTTCTTCGTACGTGAAAACAAAATCATTTATAAATTAGCTGCATTTGGCACTTCGCATTTGATGGCTAGTCTAATGACAAGCCAAATTACCCTTAAACGTGTCAATTAAAATGAACTCTAAACATTTTGTAGATTATTTGAAATGGTTCAGGCACGTTAGAAAAGTTGGGCGGAGCTAAGTAAAGATTTCTTTGAAAAGTGGTACAATCATTACAGTATCAATGGTTTGTTTACAAAACACCAAACAAAACTGAAAAACCTTTTTTGAGTTTGAAGATCAATAACATTAATATTCC